TTCCTTTGGGGGGGAGGTAGGACGGGAGGAACAGCGGAGGCTGTAGGCCACACCTGGCTCTGGAGCTGCAGGTTACAGACCCCTGCTCCAAGGTCACTTCAGTCACTGGAAGTTTTGAAATAAAACATGATTTCTGCAGAGGAACCTGGAAACTGAAAGTATTCCTCTTTGCTCATTCAGAAACTGTGGGAAAGTAAAGCTGCAGACTGAGAGATAAATTACTGCTAGGATCCTAATAAATAATGCAATAAAGCAGAACCTGCTCATATACAGTGGTATCACTTTAAATGTTGCTGTATTTAATTAGATGCTAACGAAGGAAAGCTGGAATTCGAGAAATGTGATCTTACTTTACATTTTTTATCAGGCCTCCAGCTGTTGGGGTTTAGCTAATGGATCTTTTTGTCTGTAAACAGAAGATCTCGTGTGAAATCAGGACCTTCTGACTTCGGATCTCACTACAGCCATGTTTTAGTAGTAATAATAATAATTGTACTTTATTGATCTCAATTTGGAGAAATTTGCCTCTGAATTTAAAGGAAAAGTCTGGTCAGCAAGAAATGATCAATGGATCATTATCTACAGGTGCTGGTCATAAAATTAGAATATCATGAAAAAGTAGATTGATTTCAGTAATTCCATTTAAAAAGTGAAACTTGTATATTATATTCATACATTACATACAAACTCATATATTTCAGATGTTTATTTTGTTTAATTTTGATGATTACAAATGACAACAAATGAAAATCTCAAATTCATCATATCAGAAAATTAGAATATTGTGAAAAGGTTCAAAATTGATGGCCCCTGGTGCCACACTCTAATCAGCTAATTAACTCAAACCACCTGCAAAAGCCTTTAAATGGTCTTTCAGTCTAGTTCTATAGGCTACACAATCATGGGGAAGACTGCTGACTTGACAGTTGTCCAAAAGACGACCATCGACACCTTGCACAAGGAGGGCAAGACACAAAAGGTCATCGCTAAAGAGGCTGGCTGTTCACAGAGCTCAGTGTCCAAGCACATTAATAGAGAGGCGAAGGGAAGGAAAAGATGTGGTCGAAAAAAGTGTACAAGCAAGAGAGATAACCGCACCCTGGAGAGGATTGTGAAACAAAACCCATTCAAAAATGTGGGGGAGATTCACAAAGAGTGGACTGCAGCTGGAGTGAGTGCTTCAAGAACCACCACACACAGACGTATGAAAGACATGGGTTTCTGCTGTCGCATTCCTTGTGTCAAGCCACTCTTGAACCACAGACAGCGTCAGAAGCGTCTTGCCTGGGCTAAAGAGAAACAGGACTGGACTGCTGGTGAGTGGTCCAAAGTCATGTTCTCTGATGAAAGTAAATTTTGCATTTCCTTTGGAAATCAAGGTCCCAGAGTCTGGAGGAAAAGAAGAGAGGCACTTCATCCACGTTGCTTGAAGTCCAGTGTAAAGTTTCCACAGTCAGTGATGGTTTGGGGTGCCATGTCATCTGCTGGTGTTGGTCCATTGTGTTTTCTGAGGTCCAGGGTCAACGCAGCCACATACCAGGAAGTTTTAGAGCACTTCATGCTTCCTGCAGCTGACCAACTTTTTGGAGATGCAGATTTCATTTTCCAACAGGACTTGGCACCTGCACACAGTGCCAAAGCTACCAGTACCTGGTTGAAGGACCATGGTATCCCTGTTCTTAATTGGCCAGCAAACTCTCCTGACCTTAACCCCATAGAAAATCTATGGGGTATTGTGAAGAAGAAGATGCAATACACCAGACCCAACAATTCAGAAGAGCTAAAAGCCACTATTAGAGCAACCTGGGCTATCATAACACCTGAGCAGTGCCACAGACTGATCGACTCCATGCCACGCCGCATTGCTGCAGTAATACAGGCCAAAGGAGGCCCAACTAAATACTGAGTGCTGTACATGCTCATACTTTTCATGTTCATACTTTTCAGTTGGCCAACATTTCTATAAATCCTTTGTTTTTATTGGTCTTCAGTAATATTCTAATTTTCTGATATGATGAATTTGAGATTTTCATTTGTTGTCATTTGTAATCATCAAAATTAAACAAAATAAACATCTGAAATATATGAGTTTGTATGTAATGTATGAATATAATATACAAGTTTCACTTTTTAAATGGAATTACTGAAATCAATCTACTTTTTCATGATATTCTAATTTTATGACCAGCACCTGTATACCTAAAACTAATGCGTTCAATCAATTTATCGTTAATCAATAAAAAAAAAAAAAACGAGAATTTTCGTTGTGATTGAACATTTTTGCCCAAATATAGTAACCCCTCCCTCCTGCCATCTTCCGGCAGTGATGTCACGGTGCGGTAAGCCTAGCGCCATTCTCCCCACTTTACAAGCAGAATCAATGGGAACTACTAGACACATCTGCAATCAACAACTATTATTGAAGATTTCCAGAGGACTTCACCATTGAAATTCACCAGAGCTATAGTGAAACTGACGATGCCCACATGCATGGCAGCTCGATGTTGGAATACATCGGGTAAAAGTGAAAAGAATTATTTCACCTTTCTGATTCCTGATCCTCTACGGACGGGTTAGTCGTTGATTTTGGTCACTCAGAGCATTGATATAGTGAAGTTACTCAGAGGAGCTGCGGTTTTATGAAGGCAGATTTATGGTATGATTTTATTTTTTATTTATATTGATTGACCTTATTAGAGTTGGAAAGAATAACATATAAAATAATTAAATGCTTTGGTGAAAACCATTAGATAAAATAAGTTTTATTTTATAGTTATTGTATGTTCCACTATAGTGTCATCAGTACTTTTGACTGGGGGAATTCATGGTCAGACAAATGCTCAAAGGGGTAGACGAGTCAAAAAAGGTTTGGAACCACTGGCTTAGTGCATGTTTCCTGTGTTTCCTGTGGGCTGCTGGACAGCCCAGTGTTTACAGTCGCTATAGAAGCAAACTGTTTCTTTTCTACATCACTTTCTGCCCTTTGTTTTGCTAAGGTTGTTAAAATGCACATAGACACCCAGAGCTATTTTTATAACCAAATGTCTCATTTGCATCTAAAATGTCTTTACTATCAGCTTCACACAAGCACCTGCTGAGGCTTAAATTCAGCTGAAAAAGGAGAATTATGTCCTACGTCTTTAATCCATGTAACATTCGTTCTTTCATTTATTTCATGAAATGCAGATAATGAGCCGTTATCTGATTTTGTGCATAAAATCGAAAATGGAAAAAAGGAATAACGCTCATTATCCTTTTTTTCAGGTCAGGGTATTTATCACGTGATTGACTTGAATATAAAAATATTCCTTACCAGAAACTAGTTTCTGGGCCAGGCATGTCGCTAAATGCAGCTCACGGTGAGCGTTGCTAGCACTGATCTCGTAATTATTCACTGGATCGCTGATTGGCGAGAAAAAAGTGAAGACACCAGCTGCCATGTTGGTACTCCCCACTCCCACAGAGACAGTTAAAATGCCTCCCTGTGCAGCGTTTGGCTGCAGAAACCAGCAGTTTTCTGGCTGCAGGAAGACGTTCCATAGGTAATTTCCCAGTCAGTGGATGAACTAACCAATAAATCCATCTATACGCCGATGGATCCTATAGTATAATCTGTAGCGTAACATTAGTCTGGCTGAGACTGACTGGAAGACATTGACTGAGTTAGCCTTTGACATTGGGTCTAACGTTAGAAAGTAGAGGAAATAGAAAGTAATTCACTGTGAATTGTCAATGTAGTAATTCTTTATTAAGCTGATGATGCTGTTGTTTTTGTTCCATTTCTCGTTTGAAAAAGTCATGAGCTGAAATATGCTGCATGTTATATGTGTGTGTGTGTGTGTGTGTGTGTGTGTGTGTGTGTGTGTGTGTGTGTGTGTGTGTGTGTGTGTGTGTGTGTAAAAATATATGTATATATATTGCATGCATTATCAGACATGTAAGATGTAATTACCATAACAATGTAAGCAATCCATGTACATCATCAATTTGGCACATCTGTATTATTCTGCTCCATTAACACATTCATTTTATTGTGATGGATTTGTATGATATGTTATATTACATGGTTTGGAGCCTTCATTGACTTCATAATGAGTGTGTGTCAAAGTGATGAATTTATCTTTATTTCAAAAGCCCCCTGAAAATGAGAAAATAATTGTCGTTCGATGCTGTAGTGCACAAATTGTTTACATTGCGACCGCTCTAACTAGGGAGTACCAATATGTCGGCCGGTGGCTTCACTTTAACCCTGCACTACCATATGGTCAGTGGATGCTAGGAGCTGCCTGCGGCGTCTCCATCAAACTTTACCTCAAACCAGATCATATCTGGTTCATTCAATTTGCTTGAGCTCAAAAAAAAAGAAGAAAAAAAAAGGATAATGAGCGTTATCCGTTTCTTCCATTTTTTATTTTGTGCAAAAAAAAAAAAATCAGATAACGGATAACGGCTCATTATCCGTTTTTCCTTTTTGTTTTGGAAACAGTGAGAAAACGAGTTTATTTTTGCATTTTTAATTTTTGGTTTTAATTCGAAAACTGAAAGAAGGAATGATTTTTTTACACGGATTATCTTTACTGATGTCAGTCTTAACCTGCTCTCTATTTGCAGAAATCCGGTTCCAGAAACCTCATTTAGAACCAGGAAGCATCTACACTCACATGAGCCGGTCTCCTTCCATTCAGGTGGTTGAATGAGTTGCAGACAGCATCAGACCTGAGAGCAGCGATCAGGCACTGAGCCGGACGGCGCGGCCAACAGGGACGGCAGGTCAGACCTGGATCTCATTTTATTGCTAATAATGGTTGAAGGAAAGTTCATCAACATGGATTTGATTCCTCTGAACCATTTTATTTCTATTTTAAGAACTTTTTGTAAAATAATACTTAGAAAATGATAATTTATTAGGGGTTCTGTGTTGAATTGTTTTAATTCTCTAAGTCAAAAAGGACTCGAAGTGGGCTGAATATATTTATTTCCTTTTTCTCCAGGCTACCATCATGGCGGACGTGGACCCAGACACCTTGCTGGAGTGGCTGCAGATGGGTCAGGGTGATGAGCGGGACATGCAGCTCATCGCTCTGGAACAGCTGTGCATGCTGCTGCTTATGTCTGACAATGTGGACCGCTGCTTTGAGACGTAAGACTTGGTTGTTTGGTCCAGGCCTCGAACGTGAACGTCTGTGTGTGAGACACCCTCACTCAGAGCGCCCTCTCTCTCTGTCCCTCAGATGTCCTCCTCGGACGTTCCTGCCAGCGCTCTGTAAGATCTTCCTGGACGAGAGCGCGCCTGATAATGTGCTGGAGGTAACGGCCCGAGCCATCACGTACTACCTGGATGTGTCGGCAGAGTGTACCCGAAGGATTGTGGGGGTGGACGGAGCCATCAAGGCGCTGTGCAACCGCCTGGTGGTGGTTGAGCTCAACAACAGGACGAGCAGAGACCTGGCAGAGCAGTGTGTGAAGGTATGTGAAAAAGGGTTAAGAATTCGGCAACATGTGAAAGATTAGCCCGTTTGTTCACCCAGACTTCTTTCTGGTTGAGTTAGTCAACTTTTCTAGGATCTGAATTTGAAGATGTGATTTGACCTGAGAAGGAGCGTAATTCCTGATTGGCTGTTGTGAGCTTAAGTCAGGCTAATTAAGCGTTATGTCTGACAGCTTGTTGACAGGTTTTCCGTGGGTCATTGAAAATGATTAAGTCATTAAATTATTTTATTTGATTAAGCCCTGAATTTATTAAATGTGATTATTGTGGCATTTAAAAAAAAAGTTGCAAAAAACTATTTTGTCAGATATATTGCAATATATTTGCGCAGAGCTGCTTCCGATTGATCCTAAAGCTGTATGTTCAGAAAAAGAAGCTTGAGGCAGAGAATGGGGGGAGAAATGCTAATTTCAAGAAAAGTGGCTGGAAATCGAGGAATTGGGGACATGGCTGCAGCATCTCGACGGTAAAGATAATGAAGGATTTTGGCATGTATATATTAGGGGTGTAAATCACATCCATCATGGCGATTTGATTCAGTATCGATTTCCTGACCCAACGATTCGATTATTTTCGATACTCAAGAATACACCACGATTCCAATCGGTAAATTTTTTTTTTTTTTTTTTTTTTTTACACCTTACAGGGTTAACAAAGTTTCAAGTTTGAAATAAATCAATGAAAGCTGTAATATTGTTATGCATTTTTTTTTAGAAACAACAGCAAATAACAGAAGTACAAAAGTTGCATAAAAAAATACTGCAAAAATACTGCACATAATCTGTGCAATGAGTGCAATTCAATACCTCGGCTCCAGACGTCCCGCCCCCTCCACAGACGCTCCGCTGCTCCTCTCCCAAATTGTAGCTGACCACAAACAGTGCCGCAGACAGGAGGCCGGCTTGTGTTGTTTTTATGACCGAAATTTCGGGAAAACAACTCGTGAAGTTTGACCCCCTAGAAGAGCGAGGTGCGTGAGAAGGCTGGGACCTTTTTTCCACCTGGATCTCCGCTCTTTTTGGCCCTCATGTCCCTCCGTCGTCGTACTAAACTCGCCCCCACTTCCTCGCTGCCTCGGCCGTATCTAGACCCACAGTGTGTAGCACAGACCACGCTTCAATATTGAGCCTAATTTAAAAATGTCTGTGTCAAGCTTGCTGCAACACACTGCTGTAAGAGTATAACCAGGAAGCGAGGTAGGAGGGCAAAATAGGTTTAGCGCCACCGCAGCACGGGAGGGAGAATTACACCCAGGAGCAAATGGATAAAAATAGACCAGAGGAAAAAAAACATGAATCAATACTCTTGCGGACGTATCGATGCATCGGATCGTCGGCTGTTGGATCGATGCATCGATACAAAACGATTATTATTTACACTCCTAGTATATATGAGAGCCATGGGTACTTGTTGATGGCATTAAAATAAGTATTAAAAAGCATTAAATTAGAGTTGCTCATTCCTGTTTAAACCCCGGTATAGAAGGGAGCAAGAACAGACAGGTGCTGGTGGCTAGCGGCCGGCATGCTGAACTAAAACAGTTTGTTGTTCAAATCTTTATTCTGTTTTCACTTCAGTTTATTTAAAAGGCACCAAATCCGGACAGACGAGACCAAAGCTTCCATTAAATGGGCGGAGAAATCCAGTGGTCTGGATGGGTCCACATCCATTTCGATACATCCCAGTCCAGAACACAGTCCAGGCCAATCTGGTTTATCAGTTTTTGACAAGCTAAATTTGATATGTTTAGATGCATTCCATAATTGTGATGATATAACAGATTAAAGTGTACATGTGAATAAGTAGTTTGTGGACTAGGATTAATTTATTTTGTTAACATTTTAGCTAAAGTAAGATCAATTTTAATTTGGATAACTTGGGTGATAATTGAGAGGAACAGGATGACACAAAACAAATGAGATCAAAATGGATCCACTTTTTTCATGAATTTTATAATAAACTGCAAAAGATCAGATTTTGTCAGATGCATTGCGTTGACAGTAGGGCTGCAACTAACGATTATTTTGCAAATCGATTAATGTGTCCATTATTTTTTTCAATTAAAGAAGAGTTCTAACGAAATTAAACTAGGTGAAACCAAAGCTTTTCTGTCCAGGAGTTCTGCATAGAGCAAATTGACAGAAGAAAATGTTTTGTTTTGTCTTTTTCGTAAATGCAAAATTAAAATTTTTTAAAATTTTGATATCATTCCTGCGAGTTGCTCTGTCAGCTAAAGGAATGTTTTAGAGTCTCTATACTCCAGTTAACAATCAATGCTGAATTATACTGAATTAGATGGCGATTATTTAAGTCATTTAATTACAACTCATCCGATTGTTTCCACTCGGCTGACAGATGTGCTGATAAACACAGCTTTCCAAACGGCTCCTTATCGGTCACTTGACATTCTTGAAATGGTACGAGCACCTATTTTTTTTGTTGGAGCTCGACAGGTCCGTTTAGGGTTATGAGGAACAGATCGATTCGGCGATATGTCTTGATTTTCAGCTGTCCAATATAATATTGATCTTTCAGTTCCTAATATCGATCTTTTTAAAAAACAAAACATTTTACCTAAAACAATGAGGGGAAAATGGGCTCCCTCTGACCGCCACTCTGGCAGATGGCGCTGTGGAGCCCCTGCCTCAATAGATGAGGCAGTCACAGTGGACTGACCTAAACCCCAAACATCATGGATGCCAAAATAACTAAATGATCAATATCTTCTGATGAACATATACAGAACTTTTTCTCTATACATTTAATTTTATAGTTGAGGGAAATATTGCGATACGCGAATACCTGATTTTGCAATACATTGCAGTATCGTGATTAGAGGTGAGTATTGGCATGATTGTTGCGATTCGATACATGTCGCGATACTTGGGTCACGATACGATATTATCACGATATTGCAGTATCACTATATATTGCCATATTTTCCCCAGCTATCAAAATCAAACGATGAGATAAAACAGCAAGTGCTGTATATTTTCATCAGAAAATATTGCTTAGGTACTATTATCCATGTTGTTTGGGGTTTTCTTCCACTGTGACTGCCTCAAATACAGATTTGGTGCTGCACGCACAGTTAAAGGGCTCCACAGCGCTTTCTGCTAGAGTGGTGGTCCAGAGGTAGCCCATTTTCCCATCAACTTTTTATGTAACCATTTTTTTTTTGAAAATCGATTCTAAGACGTGAAAGATCGATATTATATTGGGCAGCCGAATATCACGATATATCGCCAAAACGATTATTTTCCACACCCCTTATCGTGATAATATCATATTGTGACCCAAGTATCGTGACATGTATCACAACACACATGCCAATACTTACCCCTAATGCGCCGATGCATCGGTGTTGCTGGACCCACCACTACTGGACGGTTGACTGGGACTGTTTGGTCGCTTTAAGCAGTTGGGTCCTAAGGGGAGAAGCTGGTTTCGGGGTTCATTTTCTGAAACCCTGCTGTGTGCAGGTGCTCGAGTTGATCTGCACCAGGGAGTCCGGCGCCGTCTTCGAGGCCGGAGGTCTGAACTGCGTGCTGAGCTTCATTAGAGACAGCGGACACCTTGTCCACAAGGACACGCTTCACTCCGCCATGGCTGTCGTGTCCCGCCTCTGCAGCAAGATGGAGCCTCAAGACTCGTCCCTGGAGACGTGTGTGGAGTCTTTATCCAGTCTCCTCAAACATGAGGACCACCAGGTAACGAAACACTGGCTCGTCTGAAAAAGGTTTTTCTCTCACCTGTGTCTAACGTGACGTCTGTTCCTCAGGTTTCAGATGGAGCTCTGCGCTGCTTTGCCTCGTTGGCCGATCGGTTCACCCGTAGAGGAGTTGACCCCGCCCCCCTGGCCAAGCACGGCCTGACGGAGGAGCTGCTGTCCCGCATGGCGGCTGCTGGCGGCAACGTGTCGGGCTCGTCCTCGTCCTGTAAACCAGGCCGGCCTTCCACGGGCGCCACCCCGTCTGCCGCAGACTCCAAACTAAGTAACCAGGTGTCGACCATCGTCAGCCTGCTGTCCACGCTGTGTAGAGGCTCGCCGCTGGTCACACATGTAAGTGTTGGAAAAGGAGGCGGGGTTTGTGTGTCAGCCTCGATGTTAACCTTCATCCTGTGGTCAGGACCTGCTGCGGTCAGCGCTGCCGGACTCCATGGAGTCCGCCCTGGGTGGAGATGAGAGATGCGTGCTCGATACCATGCGGCTGGTGGACCTGCTGCTGGTGCTGCTGTTCGAGGGACGGAAGGCGTTGCCGAAGTCCACCGCCGGCGCAGCGGGCCGAATCCCCGGACTGCGCCGCCTGGACAGCTCTGGGGAGCGGTCCCACCGACAGCTCATCGACTGTATTCGCAGCAAGGACACAGATGCTCTGATCGACGCCATCGATACAGGAGGTGAGCAGGCGGTCCCCTGCAGTGCACCGAACCGAGACTGGCCCTTCTGACAGCTGCTGCGTTCAGGGACTTGTGCAGCTTTCATTTTTTGAGGAAAGTGTTTGGTGTTTGAGTCAGAGTTTCTCTGACCCAAACACCTTCCATGTTTTCTGTGGTTCTGTTGCGCCTCCGTAACGGCCAGATTACAGCTCAAAATAATACTTAGATTGTGGGGCTAGTTCTCTTCCAGAGCCCTGTTCTGCATTAAACCACTCTAAAGACTTTCTTTAACAAATCTTCCAGAACAGCTGGATTAGACAAGGGATTAGCTTCCATCAGCAGAAGTAACCAATAGTCTAGCTGCAGACCTGTTCTTTCAGAACAGGAAGTTTATCCCAAGCCTTTCAAAGTAAAAGCAAAGTACAATAAAAGCCAGTATATCAGAAATATTTTACGTTCTGTGTTCATTTCCTGGGTCTTCATAATAGAAATAATTTTTATCTATGCATGTGTTTAATGATTTATATATATATATAATCTATTTCCAGTTTAACTGGATAAAGAAAAAATGTAAGAACATGACAATGAACTCAGTTCTATTATAAAGTCGTCTCTAATATGTGTTTGCCAGTATTATGTTCTTTATTCTTTTAGTATTGTTTGTGCTGTTGGACCACATAGATTTACCAATGGACTAAGCTTTGGGTTCTCAGTTAATTACTGAATACCTCGATAATAACCACAATAGACAATAACTTCAGTTTACTTTTCCATGACGCCTGAGAAAAGAGACAGAAAACAAACTTTCAAATGTCTATTTTATTTTTCTTGGAAGTGTTTTTATTGTGGGAGCAGCAGATTTCTCAGCATGATGCAATGTTGTTCTTTAGATGAAGCTCCAGCAGGAGAAGCATCCGTCTGTAAGAGACAGATCATGTTGGAATAAGTGAAAGAAAAGCACCCAAAAATTATAAGAAAACATGATTTTCTTGGTCTTTAAAGGAATAGTACACCCAAAACATGATTAGCCTTCATTTTCTACTCACCCCCATGCTGAACAACACTCTGGAGTACTTTTTTGATATCTCAAATGCATCTGGTGATCTGGGAGGCTTCTTGCTGTCTGCTGACATTCAAATAATGGAGGTCTATGGCGCCCGAGACAGAAAGGTCCATAAAAGTCCACAAAAAACGTGTCAATATTCCTCCATACTGCTCGTCCAATGTATTCCAAGTGTCCTGAGTGGGTAGCATCCAGAATTTACTCGAAACGAAGTCATTTAGAATGTTTTTAGAGCATAAACAGTAGTGTATAGGATTTCCAGAGTGTTGTTCAGCATGGGGGTGAGTAGAAAATGAAGGCTAATCATGTTTTGGGTGTACTATTCCTTTAAGTGTGGAAAAGGCATATATAAATCCGGTAGCACATACATTCTACATGCTAGTCCTGAATGCTTTAAATAAAACGTCCAGAATAAACTTGCGCTGTTCTGTCAGATGAGCATACCCGGTCATTGCTATTTTTCCTAATGTATCCGGGCAAGGTGGCGTTCCTTGTTATTACATTGACATTCATTTTTGCCGTCAAAATATCCATATTTTTTAATGTTGCAACAAAAATAAGTTATTTTCCTGGATTCCAACAACACTATTGGCTTAAAAATGTTTATTTTTCAAAGTATTTCACTGGGTGCCCTATAAAGCGTTAAAGAAGGAGGGGTTATCTGTTTTTGATCTGAGCAGCATCCATCCTGAACGCAGCAGTCTGGTACCATCTGGTTCCTCAGACTTTCTGACTGCTAATTCTGACTTCTGCTGATGAATGGAAAACTATCATACCCTGATGGAAATGTTTGTAAAATTTTTCCACTGTTTTTTTCCCTCGAATGTCGTCTCTTTCAGCCTTTGAAGTAAACTTCATGGACGACGTTGGACAGACGCTGCTCAACTGGGCTTCAGCTTTCGGCACACAGGAAATGGTAAAGAAATGGAAGCAAAGGGTTCCTGGAGCAGAATCTGATGAATCTTTTGGATAACTGTAGAGCTGGGTGGAAGTTATGGGGAAGTTCTTCATCAGAGAGATTTTCCTTCATGATGCTGATTCAGTCTGAAAGGCTTTAAAACCTTTGCAGAGATTAACTCAAATCCCGGCTGTTGTTCCAGGTTGAGTTTTTATGTGAAAGGGGTGCAGATGTCAACAGAGGTCAGAGGTCATCTTCTCTACACTACGCTGCATGCTTCGGGCGCCCGCAGGTAGCCAAGGTAAAGTGGAGGCTCTGTTCAGTGGGGTTGAAGCATGGAGGCGCATCTCATCAGCTGGTGACGCTCTCTTTCTTCTTCCCTTCCTTGGACCACAGTCATAGTTTTGTTTCCATGTTTTTCTTCTGTCAGACTTTGCTGCGGCACGGAGCCAACCCAGACCTGAGAGATGAAGATGGAAAGACCCCCCTTGATAAAGCCAGAGAGAGGGGACACAGCGAAGTGGTGGCTATACTGCAGTCGCCTGGTAGGCTTCATTTTTAAGGAACATTTTCAAATTGAATCAGTTTTCCTGAGCCGTATTAGAAGTGACCAATGTTTGACTTCCAGGAGACTGGATGTGTCCGATGAATAAGGCTGACGATAAGAGGAAGAAGGATGCTAGTAAGGAGGAGGAGGAGGGCACTGAACCTAAAGGAGATCCAGAAATGGCTCCATACTACCTTAAGAGACTTCTGCCTGTTTTTGCACAAACCTTTCAGCAAACCATGCTGCCTTCTATCAGGTAAACTCTTCACAGTCTAAATCCATGTGAAACGTCAGTATAAAGCAGAGAGTAAAAATAATGACTTTGTTTTTTTTTTAGGAAAGCAAGTCTGGCTCTGATCCGGAAGATGGTTCACTACAGCGGTGAAGTGCTGCTGAGGGAGGTGTGTGAGAGCGAGACGGGACATAACCTGCCCACAGTCCTGGTGGAGATCACTGCCACTGTCCTCGACCAGGAGGTGAGCCATGGAAGAGCTGGGATTAAAGCGCCTCAGCCTGCCTAAACTCCACTGAGACTCTTTCTGAACCAGAGACCCAGTAAATAACGATGGAAATCTAGCTCTAAAGCCTCTCAGTCATGGAAATGATTATTTAAATAGTTGTAATCCATGCATTCAACTGGTAGCATGTTGCATTGACCGTAGGCAATGTATTTTCCTTAAAGGAATAGTGCACCAAAAAACATGATTAGCCTTCCATTTTCTACTCACCCCCATGCTGAACAACACTCTGAAGTACTTTTTTGATATCTCAAATGCATCTGGAGATCTGGGAGGCTTCTTGCTGTCTGCTGACATTCAAATAATGGAGGTCTATGGTGTCCGAGACAGGTCCATAAAAGTCCACAAAAAACGTGTCAATATTCCTCCATACTGGTCGTCCAATGTATTCCAAGTGTCCTGAGTGGGTAGCGTCCAGAATTTACTCGAAACAAAGTCATTTAGAATGTTTTTAGAGCATAAACAGTAGTGTATAGAATTTCCTAAAAGCGCGCGCCAGCGCGTTCCCGACGCTACGAAAACCACGGCAGACCAAACCAGACGAAAGTGCGCATTCAGCTCAGCAAAGACCTCATGCTCTTCCTCAACACTGTAGTCCTCAAACATTTTTCTTTCGTTGTTTCTTTCTTTGCACAGGTAAACAGCACATTTCTTCTTCTACGCTTGCATTATCGGCAGAGCAGACGCTGAATGCGCACTTTCATCTGGTTTGGTCTGCCGGCTTCCGTAGCGTCGTGAACGTGCAGGCGCGCGCTTTCAGGAAATCCTATACTCTACTGTTTATGCTCTAAAAACATTCTAAATGACTTTGTTTCGAGTAAATTCTGGATGCTACGCACTCAGGACACTTGGAATACATTGGACGACCAGTATGGAGGAATATTGACACGTTTTTTGTGAACTTTTATGGACCTGAAAAATGAAGGCTAATCATGTTTTGGGTGCACTATTCCTTTAAACAACAAGAATGGAGAGGAATATGAAATGATTAGTTTTTTTCTTGTTTTTTTTTTAGAGAGAAAGAGAAAAAGTTGCACTGTAACTTACAGGTCTATGTTTTTAAAGATCCCTTTTGTTTGCCCGGCCGCTGAAGCTGAAATCTCTGCTAAAAAAGTTTTAAAAAAAACTTCACCTGAAATTTCAGGTGTTTATTTACATGAGCTGAGGAAAAGACAAGATGTGGAGTTAGCTCAAAAATGTTTAAAGTTTAAAAGAAGTAATTTCCTGGTATATACATATACAGTCCTGAAAAATCCTTAAAATTCGTGTTTAATATTTTTTTATGAGGAAGTAAATAAAGCTCATTCTGACCCCTTTTATTTTCGCTGAGGTACTCATTACAATTTGACTTGTAGTGTCGGTAACATTAGCAGGTAGCCATGGTTCATTTCTCATTGTTTCCTCTCTAACATCACAGAATAAACGTAAACATCAGCAACACTTAATTTTCTATCCCACTGAAAATAGCAGGTTAACGCGTGTTTTTCAAATATGGATCGACCTGCTAACAATCATGCATGTTTGACACCATCACGCTGGGTTAGCGTAGATGATGTCACCAGAGTGACAAAAATCAGGAAAGTAAACAATGGAGAACAGCATAGAAGGAAGCCAGGGTGTAGTCGGTGTGCTTTATTGTTTCTATTATCTGTCTGAATCCCTCTTACCAGAGCTGCTCCATGTTTATCGAATGGAACAGGAGTTGTTTCAGCTTGTTGGATCAGAAGCGACTGCCGCGGTGTGTTGACGTCCGTGCGTTGCGTTCAATGGTATCATGTAATTTAGCGGCTCTGTGTTCCCACAGCATGCCGATTAAAGCCGAGGCGATTTTTAACGCGGGTCGCTTGCCGGTTCATTTGAACCGGGTAGACATACATAAGCTGTTCTCACTGCCACTAAAAGCTGAGGGTTTAAATGGGTTTTTCCCCCAGGGTGGAATGGGCTTTAGTGATGGCCTGCATTTGAGTCTAAGGATTTGAGGCTAATGTTAGCTTCCTTCTAGGGTTGATGTAAGTCAAGGAGGACCAGAATTAGGATTTATGGAGACCAACACTCTTTTTAACATGAAAGGTGACGCCTTTAGGAAGTAAACAAGGGAAAAAAAGGCATCAGTACGTCTCTATTTTTTCCTGTTAGGTTTGGATTTTAGCTCTGATTCTTCTCATAATACTCTGGTGTTGATTCCTACATTTATACCTGATCATAGTATCATTGGTTTTCCCCCTTAACGTAAAACAGTCCCTTAGATGACGCTCTGATATATGAGCCATGTGTAACTCAGACATTTGATGCTGGATTCATGCTAACCATTTGGGCCTGTCTTGTTACTGTCTGTTAGGACGATGATGATGGTCACCTCCTGGCTCTGCAGATCATCAGGGATCTTGTTGATAAAGGTGGAGATGTTTTCCTTGACCAACTTGCTCGACTGGGGGTCATCAATAAGGTGTCAACTCTGGCTGGACCCGCATCTGATGATGAGAATGAAGACGAAGCAAAGCCTGAGAAGGTTGGTACAAAAAAAGGTTCACCTTTCAAAATGGACCAATTCAATTCACCAAGATTTTTTACTTTATTATCTGAAATCAGTTTAATCCCATCCAAATGAAGTGACTGGCTAATCAGTTTCTTTTTCAGAGACTCTGGTCCAAAGACTATAACTTCTGTTTTGTCTGCATTCAGAAGCAGAAAGTTAAGAGTCATCCAGGTTTTTATGTCTTCAAGACATGCCTGTAATCTATGTAATGGGTTAGCTTCATCTGGATTTATAGACAGATATAGCTGGGTATCATCAGCATAACAGTGGAAATTAATCCCATGCTGTCTAATAATTCTACCAATTGGGAGCATGTATAAAGTAAAGAGAATTGGTCCTAGCACTGATCCCTGTGGTACTCCACAGATAACCTTTGAGCGTGTTGAAGATCTATCATTAACATGAACAAACTGAATTCGATCAGATAGATAAGATTTAAACCAGTCCAGTGCTGTTCCTTTAATTCCAACAAAATATTCAAGTCTTTCTAAAAGAATATTCTGGTCAACTGTATCAAATGCAGCACTAAGATCCAACAGGACGAGCACAGATACAAGTCCATTATCTGAGGCCATGAGAATATCATTAGTGACTTTCACCAGAGCTGTTTCAGTGCTATGATGAGCTCTAAAGCCAGACTGAAACTCTTCAAAAAGTTCATTATGGTGTAAGTGACCGCACACTTGTTTGGCAACTACTTTCTCAAGAATTTTGGATAAGAAAGGAAGATTGGATATAGGTCTATAATTGACCAAGTCATCTGGGTCAAGAGACGGTTTCTTAAGCAGAGGTTTAATTACAGCAACCTTAAAAGCTTTAGGTACATATCCCTGTAACAGAGATAGATTAATCACATCTAAAATGGAGGAGGAGATCAAAGGGAATACCTCCTTAAATAACCTGGTTGGAACTGGATCTAACATACAAGTTGAACGCTTAGATGAAGACAATAATTTTGCTAATTCAGAAAGTTCAACTGGATCAAAGCAGTCTAAACCCGGTTCAGATTCCATGACTACCTCAGGTACAATCACGGATAGAGGAGTGCTTATGATCTTATTTTTAATAAGATCAATCTTATTTATAAAGAATCCCATAAAATCATTGCTGCTAAGAGCAGGTGGAATGGACGGTTCGACAGAGCTATGGCTCTGGGTGAGTTTGGCAACTGTATTAAAAAGAAATCTAGGATTATTCTTATTCTCCTCTATTAATGAGGAGAAGTATGCTGCTCTTGCTTTACAAAGGGTCCTCTTATACAGCAGTAAACCATTTTTCCAGACTAGGAAGGACTCTCGCAGGCCTGTGGAGCGATATTTTCTCTCCAGTTTCCTAGCATTTTGCTTCAAAGTACGCAGCTCTGCATTAAACCAAGGAGCAAGCTTTCTATTTTTAACGGTTTTCATTTTCAAAGGAGCTGCGTTGTCTAAGGCAATACGCAGAGAACTAGCAACCCCATCAACAAAATCATCAACCTGTGAAGGGGAATAAGCTAAGCTTTTGCACTCTGCAGCACTGTTCAGCGACACAGAGGAGAGGGAAAGTGAAGCAGATTCTTTAAAATTTATAACTGCACTATCTGATAAAGATCTACTACAATTGAACCTTCTTTTGGGGGAGGAGAACTCTGTTAAAGTAATCCTGAAGGTTATTAGAAAGTGGTCAGAGAGGACAGGGTTGTGAGGAAATACTGTTATTTCTTCACATTCTATGCCGTATATCAGCACAAGATCCAAAGTATGAAGATGATAATGCGTGGGACCACTCACACTCTGAACAAAGCCAATAGTGTCTAAGATAGCATTAAAGGCTGCTCTTAAGCTATCGTCTTCAATGTCAGCATGGATGTTAAAATCTCCCACTATGATGACCCTGTCAGTATTTAATACCAAATCAGAAAGGAACTCTGAAAACTCATCTAAAAATTCAGAGTAAGGACCTGGTGGACGATACAAAGTTACAAAAAGAAGAGGTTTTCTTGCCTTGAAATTTGGATCAGGGAAATTAAGGGTTAAATGTTCAAAAGAGTTGTAGGTATTAATTGTTTTGGGAGTAATCAGTAAGTCAGACTGGAAGATTGCTGCTACTCCTCCTCCTCGCCCAGAACTTCTGGGTATGTGAAAATTTAAATAGCTTGAAGGAGTTGCCTCATTTATGCTCACATAATCCTCTTGCTGCAGCCAGGTTTCTGTAAGGCAAAACAAGTCAATGTGATTATCACAAATCAAGTCATTAACTAGTAGACTTTTAGAGGAAAGCGATCTTATGTTAAACAGACCGCATTTAATTGTTTTAACTTTTTCCCCAATTGGAGTTATTTTGATTTTAATTAGATTATCATGATTTACTCCTTTGGGAATCTTTGCTAATTTATTAGATTTTGGTCGTGGGCAAGACACTGTCTGGATGGAGTAAAGAGTGGGTAACAGTAGAGAAGCTGCAGAGATGTGTGTTAAACTACAACTCTGCTTCCTGGTCTGCACCCTGGGTGGTCAGGGTTTTGGGGGACTAATAAATGTGGCCAGATTCCTAGAAAGAAGAGCTGCACCATCCAAAGTGGGATGGATGCCGTCTCTCCGAATCAGACCAGGCTTTCCCCAAAAGGATTGCCAATTATTAATGTAGCCCACGTTGTTTTCAGGACACCACCTAGACAACCAGCGGTTGAATGACGACATGCGGCTAAACATGTCATCACTGGTCAGATCAGGGAGGGGACCAGAGAAAATTACGGAGTCCGACATTTTTTTGGCAAACTTACACACCGAAGCAACACTAATTTTAGTGACCTCCGATCGGCGTAACCGGGTGTCATTACCACCAGCGTGAATAACAATCTTACTGTATTTAACCTTATCCTTAGCCAGTAGTTTCAGGTAGGATTTGATGTCGCCCGTTCTGGCCCCCGGCAAACATTTGACTATGGTCCCTGGTGTCTCTAATGCCACGTTTCTGACTATGGAGCTGCCAATCACCAGATTGGGCTTCTCAGTGGGTGTGTCACTGAGTGGGGAAAACCGGTTAGAAACGTGAACGGGTTGGTGGTGACCAGTGGGCAGAGATCCACGACTACGCTTTCTGCGTACAGTTACCCAATCGCCTGGCTGCTCAGGCACTTTTGGAGGACAGCTACGTGGGGGGCCTACTTTAACTCCTGGATGTTCAACAGCCTGAAGCCTGGATTCTAACTCTGACACCCTCGCCTCCAAAGCTACAAAAATACTACACTTATTACACATCCCATTATCACTAAAGGAGGCAGAGGAATAACTGAACATCTGACACAGAGAGCAGGAGAGAGGAGAGGAAGAATGAAGAGTTGGAAAAGAGTCAAGGGAGGGAGAGAGAGAAGCCATAGCAATGCTAAGCTAGCGCTAGCCTAGGCTAGCTACTCCTTGCTATCAGAAATAAAACCGTGTGAAACTGACAAGTGCTCAGTAGAAAAGTGCAGCAGAAGGTGCTATGTTTTAAAGTAGTCAGTTAGAGTTACTTAGATACAGAGATATCACAGAGAAAATAACTTAACTTCAGATGGAGTTCCTCTGAACAGCTGCACACTCAGTTAATCCAAACAGGAAGTGAACAGGTCCAAACAGGAAGCAGCCAGAGAATAACCTCTTTGGAAAGGCACCAGTGGACCTGCAAAGACCAACAGTTTATTGAAGTTCAAAAATTAACAAACATTTTTAAAAAGCCTCAATAAACCTTTGTGTGTTCCTAAGTTGGTGAATATGATAGCTTATACTATTCAGGGAGTAAACAAATGTATGAATGAATGAATTTGAGGAAGACTGATTTCTCTGGATGAGATGCAGCGATTCTCAAACTGGGCTTAAAAGTTTTGGAAAAAAAGAAAGGGATGTAATTTAATGTTAAATAAAGAACATGCTGCTAAGAGCAAGGAAAGTCTATGAAGGGTTAATGCAGATATTTTCCACTGATGTTGAACTTGGAAGTCACAAGTTGACCCGATCTTTTCCAAGATACGTATTTAAGTCATAATTAAGTCATAAGCAACATTTTTAGTTTATTTGTCAAGTCACATCATGTCATCTCAAGGCACTTTACAGAGATAATTTAACCTGATCATCCAGTCCAATTAGTTTAAAGTTTTTAATCTAAGTAAAACCAGCTGATTATATCGACTTTTGAGCAATCCCTCAAACCAGGCATGCTTGTAGTGACAGTGGAGAGAAAAAAAAACTCCCTTTGAACAGAAAGAAACCTCCAGCATTACCGGGCACGGTGTGAGCGGCCATCGGCTGAGGTCAAGGGGTTTCAAGGAGACAGAAGCAGACATGGAAAAAGAAGCAGATATACAAAAGGCAACTGTCAACCAGCTCCACAGGCGGCCCCGTCCAGGAAACACACAGCCAGGCAGACGAGCTAAGAGCCAGCTCCCATGTCAGAGGATGAAGAGAGCACATCCAGTTAGTCACAGTCAGAGAAACAGGACTACACTGGAAAACAAGCCGATCTCCAACATCTATAAATGAAGGTATTGATGGCAGCAGCACAGCGGATATTTCTCTCCAGGATGGAGTCACAGCCAAACAGGAACAGACCAGATGAAGCTACTATGAGAAAAAAGAGCATAAATTGTAAACAAACACTGCAGAATGGGAGAATAGAGATATGATGGAAAGAGATCCCTATGTCCTCCAGCAGTCTAAGCCTATAGCAGCATAACTATAGAGATAGCTCAAGATGACCTGAGCCACTCTAACTATAAGCTTTATCAAAAAGGAAAGTTTTAAAGAAGACAGTTTCACCTCCTCCAGCGGTTGACTTAACAGAGTAGCAACTCAGTGCCTCTAATGAACCATCAGTGCTGAGAATCTAAATGTCAGATAACCAAGAAAAGCAGAAAGTTGCTGATAAGCCCTGATGCTAGCTGCACTAACTTAATAAAGCAACACTCATTCTGGTTGGTTTAGACCAACAACCAATGTTCTGCTAGCATTATACTGTTAGTGAGTTCCCCCAGTGAAGAAAAAGGGAAATTAGTCAAAACATCACAGCTGGAACAAAGTCTCTCTTTATATTGTGAAAAGTTTCAGTCAGGTTAGACATGTCACTGCAAATACTACAGCATTACACTACTACAGTGGAGATATAAGCTTTTAACCTGGATCTGAGCAGCTGAGACAATCAGCTCATTCAAATAAGAAAGCCTTTCTATTTTATTTCAAGAGCAGAAACAATTAATCAGATTAATCGATTATTGAAATAATCCTCCACTAATTTAGTCATTGATTGTTAACTGAAGTATAGAGACTAAAACGTGCCTTTAACTGATAGAGCGACCCACTTAGAGCAGAAATTATGCCAAATTTGTAAAAAGCATAAACCTTTTACTATTAAGACAAGAGAAAATGTTTTGTTTGTCAATCTGCTCTATCCAGAACGCCTCAAGTGGAAAATGTCGTCTTTAAGGAACTTTTTGCTATCCAGTTTATTAATCGATCGATTGAAAAAATTATTGACAGATTTATCGATTTCCAGTTGACATATATGTAGGTATTAATTGTTCAAACATTAAAACTTTTCATACCAAGTTTTCTCTTCACTATTTCTTCAGATGCGGCATCTGGTTTGTTGAAAAGTGCTGACTGATTAAACTTTGAATGAAACTCCTTAGACCTTAAGAATAACCCCCAGGTTTTCCTGCAGGAGGACGAGGTTCAGGAAGACGCCAAGGAAGTCCAGCAGGGGAAGCCGTACCACTGGAGGGACTGGTCCATCATTCGGGGCAGAGACTGTCTCTACATCTGGTCAGACGCCGCTGCCCTGGAGCTCTCCAATGGTTCCAATGGGTGGTTCCGATTTATCTTGGATGGGAAGCTCGCCACCATGTACTCCAGTGGGAGCCCAGAGGGGGGTTCTGACAGCTCCGGTACGTTGGACGTGCTTTTATTCCACTTGTTATCTCCTGTGTTTTGTGCTTCGCTGACTTGCTTGTGTCCCACATCCTGCAGAGTCTCGAAGCGAGTTCTTGGAGAAGCTCCAGCGGGCCAGGAGTCAGGTCAAACCTGTAACAGCCAGCCAGCCCATCCTCTCCGTCGTCGGTCCCACTAAGCTGACGGTTGGGAACTGGTCTCTAACTTGCCTGAAAGAAGGAGAAATCGCCATCCATAACTCGGATGGACAGCAGGCTACTATCCTGAAGGAGGACCTTCCTGGCTTTGTGTTCGAGTCCAACAGAGGAACCAAACACTCATTCACTGCAGAGACGTCTCTGGGTGGGTCAACATTCAGGGGTCAGTGTTCAGAGCTAAAAGATGGAGAAAAAAGGCATCTGGGCAGATCGGGGTCCAGGAACCTTTACCTCAGTTTGTGGTGATGGTAGCAAATAGACCACTGGTTCTTAGGCTGCGTTCACACCAAAGGCATTAGGGGCGTCAAAAATGCATAAAAACAGAATCTGGACGCTATGGATGTTTATCTGCTCTGTTCTGTAGCTTCAAGCTAGAGAGCAGCTTGGCTTTATTTACTTTGAGTTGGAAAATAGTTTTAACATATTTTTTTTACCATTTAACTTTTTATTAGTATCTTTTACTTTTTTTTTACATATACAGTGCAGATGAACATTTCACATTAAACTTTCACTTGGGAGCTATTCCTCTATTTGACCTTTGTCCCATCTAACTTATCTAGTTCTTTATCTTTGTCGTTGTCTTTTGTCCTGAATGTCGTCCATTTCTACTATTTTACTTCCATTTGATTTTGTTGAAGACTTAGACGATGTGTCAGTTTTTCCATGATGTAGATTTCTTCTATTATTCCAGTCCATTGTTCTTGAAGCATGGGGTCAGCCTGTCCCTATTTCCTCGTTATTTACCCTTTTCGTTGCTATTAACAATATCTTAATCAGATACATGTCTTTTACCCATGCTTTGATATTGTTCAAATTGTAAAGATATGGTATCACACTACTCATAGGAATATCACATCCCAGAATCTTCTTCAGTTTCATCTACATTTTTCCAAAATTGAACAATTTTAGGACAGTTCCAAAACATGTGAGTGGTCGGCATTCATTGATCCACAATTTTGCCAACACCCCGTGTTTGTGTCCTTATATTTATTCTTGACTTTAGGCGTGATGAAAAATCGTATTAGATTTTTTTCCATGTGAACTCCTGACCTGACTCCGCCAGATGGATTTGCTTCGCATATCCATCTGGAAACCTTCCGTTGAAGTAATTTTGGGAAGGGGCGAAAATACTGGTTAGCTGATTGGCCTATGTTGGTGATAGACGGGCCAAATAAACCAATCAGATCAACGAAGCATATGACGTACTAACAGAGCGATGACGAAAACACAACCAAAAGCCAGGCTACTCTTGCTGCTGCAGGTAAAGGCTCGTTAGCTCAGCAACGCCTCCAGAGCAGTGTTTTGCTCTTCTTTCAGTGTAGAAATACTCTGTAATTCCGATAAAAATTGCTCGATAGCCACGCTAATGCTAGTTTCACCGGCTGAAGCCGCCATGTTTTTTAGACTGATCTGTCACGCTTCTCGTTGCGTCACACCTCAACCCGCCTCAAAGCCAACGCTGATTGGACGTTCGTTTGGTGAACGGCTCCAAATTTTCTTTAACGGAGAGTCTCCAGACTGATCTGCGAGTGAAAGCTTGAAAGCTCGCGAGATCAGGATGGTCTCACGAGGCTAGTGAACTCCCTCCATATCTGTGAATTGGTGGATTTCTGATGTTTTCCACATATCTAACCAGTCTTCATCTGACATTGTCGTGTTAAACTCTGATTACCACTTTTCTTTTATATACTTGGTTGGATCTTTATTCATAATCAGTTTTTGATATAGAGTAGAAATTATTTACATTTTTGTTCCACTGAAGAAAAATTTCACTTCCACAGAGGCATCCCACCCGATTTCTGTCTTATGTTTTAACACATTTTTAATTTAGAAAGTCCACCTCAAAATATCCTCTGTTCATCAGTGCGGGATTATAATCCCACTAAAATATGCAGTTCTTGTTCGGAGTGCCAGACCCCCAGCATACCGCTGTTGTTCTGTCAGATGAGCAGATCCCGTCAGACCAGCATAACCCATATTCAATACCTGTTTATCCCTTTAGTTTTGTACAAAAAATAGACTTTAAACTACCTCAATGTGTGTGTATCCCTTTAGTCATGTTTTAACATTTCTAGTTAGTTTGGGTTTTTATAAACTGTTTCTCCAGAGTTCATAAAAAATATTCTAGTGCAGCAATAATGATCAGAGCTCGCTCTCTGTTTCTGATTCTGATTGGTTGACGCTCTGGCGTCCATCACTTCAGTGTCAAACACTTAGATGTTCCTGACGCTACCCCCCATAAACTTTGCTTGTAAATAAGACGTTTTGACGCGCAGACGCACCCGGTTTGAATGTAGCATTGGCCTGAGCCAGAGCCGCCTTTAACCCTTCGGTTTGTGTGCAGGCTCTGAGTTTGTTACTGGCTGGACTGGGAAGCGGGGAAGGAAGCTGAAGTCCAAACTGGAGAAGACGAAGCAGAAGGTGAAGAGCATGGCGAGGGAGCTGTATGACGACCACTTCAAAGCTGTAGAGAGCATGCCTCGAGGGGTGGTGGTCACTCTGAGGAACATTGCCACGCAGCTGGAGTCTGCCTGGGAGCTGCACGTCAACAGACAGGTACACCGCCGAGTGCCGGGGGCTCTAACCTATAAAGCGGATTCCAGATCATAGGGACTGACCTGCGTTGGTATTTTTGCTCTGGCAGTGCCTGGAAAGTGAGAACACATGGAGGGACCTGATGAAAACTGCTCTGGAGAACCTGATTGTGGTGCTGAAGGATGAAAACACGATTTCTCCATATGAAATGTGCAGCAGTGGCCTGGTCCAGGCTCTGTTCACTGTTCTCAGTAATGTGAGTATGAAGGAAAGGTGTCAGAGTGACATCTCCTGCTTTTAATCAGTTTCACATCTGTTCATTGGAAATCACATCTGTTACATTTTTTAGACCGTTTTCTTTCATTCAGTCACATTTTAAAGGAAAAGTCCGTTCAGCCAGGAATAACCAATAGATTATTATTTATACCTTAAACTAGGGTTGTCAAAAGTATCAATACTCAAAAAAGTATCGATACTGAAACGTTGTATCCGGATACAATACTCATTTTCAAAAGTATCGATACAGCCATCTAAAGTGCAGAATAGTAGAAAATGCACTTTCTTAACACTGTGTGATTGAATAATTCTGTGCATTTTTCACTTTCAAACTTTTTATTTTATTTTTGTTTAACTGGTTTGGCTAGTGTCATTGTTATGTCTGCAAAACATAGCCAAGGAAGAAACACTTAATTTTAATTTTTTTACGTTTTTTATCAAGCTTGCTTAATATTGTGCACAGCATACAACCTCAAAATATTATTCTTATTGTTTTTCATTTATTTATTGTATTTGTTTTAGTAAGGAAAATATTTCTGTTGAATTTTAGAGTCTTTGTTTTTATTCTTGTGGTATCGAAAAGGGTATCGAGTATCGAATATTTTACTTAGTATTGGTATCGAGTTGAAAAGTTTAGTATCGTGACAACCCTACCTAAAACTAATATATTAGTGCCGATTTAATGAATTGGGCATAATAAAAAATAAAAACAATTTCATTGTGATCACTGAGTCTGGGAGCAGCCATTTTTGCCCAAATATATTAACCCCTCCCTCCTGCCATCTTCCGGCAGTGACGTCACGGTGCGGTAAGCCTAGCGCCATTCTCCTTTACAAGCAAAATCAATGGGAACTACTAGACACATCTGCAATCAACAATTATTGAAGATTTCCAGAGGACTTCACCTTTGAAATTCACCAGAGCTATAGTGAAGCTGACAATGCCCACGTGCATGGCAGTTGGATGTTGGAATACATCGGGTAAAAGTGAAAAGAATTATTTCACCTTCCTGATTCCTGATCCTCTACGGACGGGTTAGTCGTTGGATTGCCAAGTTGAAGAGGGAGGATTTGCCATCGAACCAGAGAATTTATTGAACAGTATGAAATAATTTCATATTTAAAGTACTTTCAGAAGTTTGAATTCTCAATGTGACTGGACTTTTCCTATAAAAATGTGTAAGAAAAGGTTTTTGTTATTTCTATCAGTATCTAATACAGCTGGAACAATATATTGCTGAAATATGTTTTTAGGAAAATTTCCGCTTATCAATGAATCATTAATAGATTAATAAGATCAGTCAACTTTAGACTAACTTGTTAAGCTTGCATCTTTGCTTTGAAGGTTCTATTTCTTTTATTTAAAGTTTAATCCTGGTTTCTTTTCTATTTGCCTCCCTATTTCTGTTTTAACCAAAAGCTTATTTCTAGAGGAGAATTTTCCAGATGTTGACATGATAACTTGAAGCTGTTTTGTGTTTTATGCAGAGTGCAGAGCTGGACGTGAAACATGATTGTAAGCCTTTATTGGAGAGGATCAACGTCTTTAAGGCGGCTTTCAGTGAGAATGAAGATAACGAAAGGTGAATAGAGCCACTTTGGATGAACTTTATATACCTTTTCACTTGGTACTAGAATAGTTTGCTGGTTTGTGTTTTAGAATGTTGAAGATACTGATGATATAAAAGTTAAAATTGTTAAACTTTAAATCTGCAAAAGGAAAAAAACATTTGATTCAGTTAATATGGAATAGGACTGGGCAATTAATTGTGCTTGCAATATAATTGCAATTTAACAAAGCGCAATTTTCAAATTGCAGAGGCACCGATTTTTAATCACACTATAATTAACTAGGCTTAGACACTAAATTTCTCCCTCCAGCCCTTTAGGTGGTGATTAAACACTTTAAGTGGGCTTGTTGCCACGCAGAAAGGTAGAGCGAGTTTCAGCTGGCGGCAGATCCATGAATACATATAGAGCTAAACAGTTTTTTCAAACAATTGCTACAGTAAAGTCCCGTAACAGAAACTGAAAGCTTGGGTGAAACATCTATAAGCTTCTGTTTAGTGCTAAATAAAATTGCAGTCACAATGTTTTTTTAAATAATCGCAATTTAGATTTTTGGTAAATTCGTTCAGCCTTAATATGGAGTGAAATGATGAGTAGCTTTAGAGATTAGCTGCATCTGAGGGCTGAGGTCTGTCTGTTAGCTGTTAGCGATGACTCCCCCAGTCATATTTTCTGGATTATATATTCATCATATTAAATGTGACAAACTGTTTGGGTACAAATGGGGACATTATTTTACCAGCTATAGAAAAGCAGTGCTATCAGGATGGGAACAAAGGAAAGGAATTTTTTAATTAACTAATGAATGACTTGTTCCCTTTTCCCACTGGGGGGAAAAATGGTTTAAATGTGGGTACGTGGCAAATGACCTGCGTTAAAAATTGGCTCGGCTCTGATCGGCATGCTGATTTACGTGATACCATTGAACCTAGCATAGAGACGTCAACATGCCACGCCAGTCGCTTCTGATCTAACGAGCAGAAACGACTCTGTTTCCATTGAATAAACATGGAGCAGCTCTGGTGAGAGAGATTCAGACAGATAATAGAGAGAAACAAAGCACACTGACTACACCCTGGCTTCCTGATATGTTGCTCTCCGTTGTTTACTTTCCTGATTTCTGTCACACTGGTGATTTCGGCAACCCTAACACAGCATGTTGATGTCTTTTATTGCCAGTGGGAAGGGAACATAATGCGGAATGTTAGCTGGTCGACCCAAGTTTGAAAAAAATGATTTAACATATTTTTATATGGTTTGTATTGCTGTAGTTTAAGGAGCGATTTACCTCTGACTACTTGATCATTAATCCTGTGCCTCTGAATGTGTTTGCAGCCGACCAGCAGTTGCCTTAATCAGAAAGCTGATAGCTGTCCTGGAGTCCATTGAGCGTCTACCTCTTTACCTTTACGACTCTCCAGGCTCCTCCTATAACCTGCAGGTGAGTCGTTCTGCCGTCTGTTCTGTTTGTAGTCAGTCGGGTCCATCCGCAGCTCCTCATGGTGTGATTTCTGTCAGATCCTGACAAGGAGGCTGCGCTTCCGTCTGGAACGAGCGCCAGGGGAGACGGCTCTGATCGACCGCACGGGTCGCATGCTGAAGATGGAGCCGCTGGCCACCGTGGAGTCTCTGGAGCAGTACCTTCTAAAAATGGTGACGTCACTCTTTCCACACGTTTTCTGAGCAGTGGGAAGGCTTTGTTATCGACTCCTAACCCTCCCTCGTTGTCCAGGTGGCGAAGCAGTGGTACGACTTTGAGCGCTCGTCGTTTGTTTTTGTGAGGAAGCTGAGGGAAGGGCAGACCTTTACCTTCAGACATCAGCATGACTTTGATGAGAACGGCATCATCTACTGGGTCGGAACAAATGCAAAGTAAGTCCACTAGCAGCAGTTAGCTCTGCTCTCCGCAAACGTCTTACCAACAGTTTTCAGCTCTGAATAAGTTAGAAAAGTTTTCAGTGTGGTCGTCCTCTTTCTTCCCATCAGTATCATTCACACAGTGTGACTGATTCATCTGAAGAGTTAAGCGCTGTCTGATGAGTCAGGCTGGGCCTTAATCACTACCGCAAAGAAGTTCAAATATTTGGATGGCTAGATAGATCAGCTGATGCCCTGAATGCCTTTATTTACACAGGAAACAAGCCTGTTAGATGATTTGCTCTTTAAAGAGAGAATTGTGGGGGAAAAACAGCAATTCTCCCTCAACCCTTTTCTGTTTGGTTGCTAGTCAGCAACCCGTAGCTCAATGGAGCTTTTTCAAAACGTATGAAAAAGGAAAAAGATGGATTTTTGTTTGTTTTTAATATAGTGTGTAGAAGGACTAACAAACATTTGTTTATAGCAATGTTAACATTTATTGTTTAAAATGTTTTATTATACAAATTTTGTACAGCATTGGAAACAACTAAGAGTTGTATCATTGCCTGTGAGACACTTTTCAGGGGGGAAAAGAGGAATTTATTGTTACTGTGGTTTGAAGAGGATTGCATTTTATTTCCACATGGTTTGAAATTACAGGAGTCCTATTACGCATTTTCCAATGTTTTTATTTTCTATTTATTTCAAATCCTCAAAATAGAAATAAAACAAAATTCTGATTTCTTTATTGTATTTCTAATAATTCCATTGATGAAAAAAATTGTAATACATTAAAGGTATTGTGGAGGATTTTTTTAAAGACCTTCCCTCTCTTGTGCTGTTCTCATAGTTCTCATAGATAAACTGATCGTTGCTCCGTTGGTCACGTAGCTCCTCCTCCATAGTGTGCCATCTGTGCGGGCCACTCTAAAAGCAAATCCCATAATGCTTTGCGAGGAGTGCTCTCGGTGCAAAGCATTCTGGGATATATCTGCCTCTTCTGAGGCCTTTCTTTTCTTCTCATACACTTCGTAGACCCTTTTTCTCTTCCGACCCTCTGCCATTTTCAAAGAACAGTGGTGAGAAAGGTGAGCTTCAATGACTGTCTGAAACCGTAGCTCACCATAGATGTACTTATCACCAGAATGAATTACAGTTAGGAGGACCACTTATCTAGATGATCCACCTGGAAATAAAAGACCATCCTCTTTAAGTGTAACTTCCATTAGAGTATGAAAGCACCAAACATCGTACTGTAGAATGATCACATGGTGTCATTTTCTCCAGGATGCGCTGCAGGGAAAATAAACATTCAATCATGAATGATTATTGTGTATTTAAGCCTATTTATCTGATTTATACTTAGAGCCCTTAGGAGGCTTATATAACACTTTTAAGTTTTTGCAGCTCAAGACAGATCTGTAATCGTAAACTGGAGTATAGAGACTATAAAATACGCCTGTAGCTGACAGAGCGACCTACTTAGACCAGTAATTATATCAAAATTGTAGAAAAATATATAAACATTTTGCATTTAAGATGAAAAAAAAGAATTTTTTATCTGTCAATCTGCTCTATCCAGAACACCTCAAGTGGAAAAGTTTTAGTTTCAACTGGTTTAATTTCGTAAAAAATCTTCAGTGAGGAACCTCTGATAATCTGATTTTTAATCCATTAATTGAAAAAATTATTATTAATCCATTAATTGAAAAAATTATCAACGCATTAATCGATTTGCAAAATAATCGTTACTCGCAGCTCCAGTGCTAGGCTGCTGCTTTTCCTTAAATCTGTCAAAGGATAAAAATATTGAAAAGCCACCACTCGGAGGCGTACAGCTGGAGCACCAAGCAGATGTTTGTTACAGAAAGACTGATTGTTGAAGATCTCTAGCTGACTAACTCTTCTCCCAAGGAAGTTGAATGCAGCTCTGTCGGTGCGTCATGCTTTGCTTCGCTCTTAGCAGGAGCTTTAACCCTCAGCAATGTTTCCAATCTTTGTCGCCCTCAGGACGGCGTATGAATGGGTCAATCCTGCCGCCTACGGCCTGGTGGTGGTGACGTCCTCAGAGGGGCGGAACCTCCCTTATGGGCGTCTGGAGGACATCCTCAGTCGGGATAGCTCTGCTCTCAACTGCCACACCAACGATGACAAGAACGCCTGGTTTGCTATTGACCTTGGCCTGTGGGTCATCCCATCAGCGTACACTCTGAGACACGCCAGGTCAGAAACCCCAGAGGCCTGAAGTGTTTTCTAAGAAGTTATCTTTAAAAAGGCATCAACAAAACCAGTTTCTGTCTGTGCTTTCCTCCTCCCTCTGCAGAGGTTATGGTCGCTCAGCGCTGAGGAACTGGGTTTTTCAGGTCTCAAAAGATGGTCAGAACTGGTCCACTCTGTACACACACATAGACGACGGCAGCCTCAATGAGCCGGGGTACAGCTTTCGCTCCAACTCCGATGTTTTAGGAAGTAAAAACATTTCCTGCTGAACACTAAAGGTCTGCTTTCCCACAGGTCAACAGCCACGTGGCCTCTGGACCTGTCCAAAGACGAGAAGCAGGGCTGGAGGCATATAAGAATCAAACAGATGGGGAAGAATGCGAGCAGTCAGACTCACTACCTGTCTCTGTCTGGGCTGGAGCTGTACGGCACGGTCACAGCCGTCTGTGAAGACCAGCTAGGTGAGAACTCTACCTCAGTCCGCTCACAGGTTGGATGGGGATTGGGAAGTAGAATATTGAAGTGTGTCTTTTCTCAGTCTCACAGGGTTCAAGGGGAGGTTGAGAGAGAAAAATAAGTGGTTAGAGCTCAATCAGCCTCTGCCATAGAGTGAAAGGAAGGCAGCTGTTGTGAAACATTTCATCTGTCTAGTGAAAGATGTATTAAAATAACAGGAAATGTTGTTGGCGAGGTGAAGTTGTTTTTCTCGCGTCTTTGTGAGCAAGAGGCTCTATAATTGTAGGGGCCAGGGCTGCCCCAGTCAGAGCTCACTGACAGTTGTACACTGAAGATGCTGTCTCTCCATCTGCAGATGTATTACTGTATTTTCACGACCATAAGGCGCACCGTACTAAAAGGCGCAGTCTCAGTTATGTGTCCCATTTCTGTATTTAACACACACATAAGGCGCACCGGACTATAGGGCGCATTCTTTATATACAGGTACATGTCCTCTACTACATTTAAATAGCTCTACTGCGTATTTAAAAATAGAGCGGGAGCAAAACTGAGTAAGACTGTGCTTTATTCATGTATTTATCACAAAGTATTAATCAAACCTGGCAGCTGGCCGTGAGACAGACACATCGCAGATGACACAGCGCTGTGATCACTCCTAAATTAACTTAAAATCCTGAAACCTGCCGACGGAATATGTTCACTTTTATTGCCGGTATCCTGGTGCCTGCAGTTTAAATTATTTAGATGAAAAACACCTGCCAGCCGCCGCGGTGAACCCGCAGGCTACCCGGCCCAGAGGCTGCTGATGAAGGGATTTCTACTGTTGGTGCACCGCTGGTATGTGGGGGTCTGAGCGCCTCCGACAGAAATAGATAATCTGGATGAACTGACTGCAATTATTAAGTTTTCAGGTGGACTTTCTCACTTAAAACATATTAAAACTACTTTATTCCCACTGATCACAGCAAATATAGCTGCAAGATTTAGATTATTTAGATGAAAAAACACCTGCCAGCCACCGCGGGAGGAGACCCGCCCAGAGGCTGCTGTTGAATTAAGTTTTCAGGTAGAAAAATACAGCGGGAGCAAAACTGAATATGATTGTGCTTTATTCAAGTATTTATTACAAAATATTAATCAAACCCATCAAAGTCATCATCCTCTGTTTCTGAATTAAACAGCTGCGCTAAATCAGACATGTCAATTTCCCCTTCTTCGCTGTCAGAGTCACTTTCCGTGCCGCGCGGCTCCTCGGAAATAATGCCGGCTTTTGCGAAAGCTCGAACAACAGAGCCAGCAGACACGTTAGTCCAAGCATCTACAATCCATCCGCAAACGGTGGCGTAACTTGCCCGGCGCTGCCTTCCACTTATCGTGAAACTGTGGTCTCCGTCTGTCATCCATCGCTCCCACGCCGCTCGCAGCCTTACTTTGAACGGCCGCTTCACACCGATGTCGAGCGGTGGAAGTTCCTTTGTCAGACCCCCGAGATAACGGCGAGCACAGCGTCCATTTGATTCACCTTTTTTTTCCACATCAGCTGTGAGATGGGCACGCATGGAGTCACATATTAAAAGCAATGGTGATGCGTGGAAAAAACCACCTGGTCTCCTCACATACACCTGCCTCAGCCACGCTTTCATCATCTCCTCATCCATCCAGCCCTTTCATTTGCCTTAATATCATATGTCATCAGAGCGATGTGTCTGTCTCGCTGTCAGCTTCTCTGATTGGTTGATGCGGCGCTTATGTGCGCCTTATAGTCGTGAAAATACGGTAATAAACCTGGGTTCTTCCTTGCAAGATTGTCTGTGTCTCAGTTCTCCACTGCTCCAAAGGAACTAAAACATGAAGGGAAAATGGGCTTAAAGTCCCCCCTAATGTCCTGACTGCTAGGTGCAGAAAGAATGTGGATGTTAAGCAGAGGGTCTCATCGTCTGTCTTTCCTGCTGCAGGTAAAGCTGTGAAGGAGGCCGAGGCAAACCTTCGCCGCCAGCGCAGACTTTTCCGTTCTCAGGTCATGAAGTACATCGTCCCAGGGGCGCGGGTCGTTCGTGGTATTGACTGGAAGTGGCGCGAGCAAGATGGAAACCCCCCTGGAGAGGGAACAGTCACTGGAGAGGCTCACAACGGTAAGTTGGAGTCAATTTCATGCAAACCCCTGAGAGTTAGAGGAACCTGTCATTTCTTAAGCCTCTGATAAAACTGCTAAAAATTAGATTTTTATTGGAGAGCAGTTTTGTTAGCGACAGCATTTAAATCCTGCCTCCAGGAGCGAATGAGGGCAGAGATTCACTGCAGCAAACATTTAAACTCTCTTCCTCCCTGCATCAGTTCCCTTCCAGCTTTCTCTGTCAACATCCCCCCAAACCAAAGTCCAGTTTAATCCGTGATCTTCATAAAAACATTCCTTCATGTTGTTTTCCCCTCGTTCCTTACCAGCACAACCTTTAACACATCTGATGTCAGAGTTTGGCTTATTTTATCTCCTGATATTCCCTGATGTAGATATTTTCTCCTCTGTTATGTAGTGGGGGAAAAAGTATTCAGCTATTCACCCCAGTTAAAGAAACAGAGATCGATGGATTTCACTCAGTTAGCACTTTATTTTCATATCTTTGCAAAGAGAACAGTTCATCATACAACCCGTACTGCTTGGTAATCAGCCCTGTTCTGCCTGGGCAATGTGTTAGCCTTACATACAATATTGGAAAGTTGTCAAAACAAATTAGACACTTTGGTTTGTCTGGTCTACAAACACCCTCACACAGGGGAACTGGGTGACCTTGCAGGTGAAACAGACTGTGTGAAAATTTTATACTGAGTAAATAGGATAAATTAATATATAAAATGAGGGAAATCTAAATTTTTCAACAGTTATTAGAGGTCTGGTTGGAGCAGAATCCATTATTTCTGTGGTCTTAGCAGGAGAAGCCGTTCCTTGTCTCAATGGGACCTCTAGAGTCAGACTTCTAACACAGCGCTTTAGTCTCAGAGGGCCACAGTGTTAACTTCAGTGTAACTTGTTGGGTTTCAAACATCCACATTAGGGCTGCCCTTTAATAGAATATTCTGGTGAACATTCTCAGTCATCCAGGTCATAGTCATTCCAAAAAAGTAAAAAGAAATCCACTGGACTTTGTTTCCAAGTTTGAAGATGATTTGCTTCCCATCTTTGAAGTTTTTTCCACCCTACAGGGGGAACAGAAGACCTCGCCTGTTCATCCAGGCCAACTATTCCCTTTAACAACCCCCCTTTCAGAGACATGGATGGGTATGGGGCATTGCAGGCTAAGAAGCCAAACGACCCCCATTCGTCCGTTTCAGTTTGCATGTTTTCCAAAAAAAAAAAAAAAAAAAAATTTTGAATTGAAAAATCTTCCTGAATGGGAAGAGCAACATCTTCAAACTTGGAAACAAAGTCCAGTGGAGTTTTGGGAATGACTATGACCTGGATGACTGAGAATCTTCACCAGCATATTCTATTATCAGGAGAACAATACAGCCACCGTGCCCTTCTAGGAACAATTTAAACAACAGTGAAAACTTGGATCTGTGAACCCTAGAAGCTGACCGTATAGTTGGGATTGTTTCAGCCTAAAGCAGACAGGAACCCGACACAATAGAACTGATTCCTACGGCAGAACCTGCAGTCAACAAACTTTCCTTCCTCCTTCACTTCGTCCTCATTTCATGTTTTTAGCCCCATAAATCCAATCATCAAAGTCTGATCGTATTTTCTCTGTTTGGATTCTTTCTATCTCAGAAATTTTTTTTCTCCTTTTGCTTTTATTTTCTCTTCTGTCACATTATTTTCTAGTCACTCCTCTGGAACTAAAAGCCCTTTCTGAATAATCCACATAATTATATAAAGAATAGTTTTCAAATGTGCTCTGGTTTATTATTCTGAGGTTGGGTTCAAACTAAAATTTAAAACTTTTTTGGTACACGACTAAAGGGATATACGCCCATTGAGGTAGTTCAAAGTTTATTTTTCGTACAAAAGTGAAGGGATAAACTAAAGGGATAAAAGGGTTTTGATTATGGGTATGCTGGTCTGACCGGGTATGTCTGATTCTGTTTCTGATGCTCATCTGACAGAACAGCGGCCTGCTGATCGTTACTAAATGCCTTCCCTCTCTCTCCTCCCATTTGATTTCTGCCCACCATCAAAAATTAAGGCCACTGATGCAAAAAGACTCTTTGAAAAAATAACTGAACCCAGTTAAGTTATATGAATGTACTTTTATTTACCATGATCTGACCCAAACAAAATGCCATCATGTAAATAAATTCAAACCACAGCCTTTGTTAATAGAACAGCTTCAGACATTCAAGACATTTGATTCCCTTAAAGGATTCATTTAACGGTTTTATGAATCGTTGGATTATTCAAAGGGAAATCGACTCGAATCGATACAAATTTTATTTGCTCTGCTTTACATACTGGGCTCTACACAAAAGAATGAATTCAAACATATTAACTGATTGAGCTTCAGACACGGTGCACCAGCGGTTTACTGTCCTTCCTACACTCACTACATTCCTCATAATCCCTTTTAATGAGAGGCCAGAATGACTGGAACAGAAATTAGACTAAATCTTACCAATACTTGGTCTGTCTCAAAATAATAGAAGTATTTTAGAGCATTGAGGCTGAACCGTCTCTCCTAAATCAAACAGTCAGTTATTCAGGCCGTGTTTATATAAATTCAGATCCTGCTTTAAAGTAAAGCAGCTCAGTGCACTTTTCGTGCTTGTCGTTTTTAAAAAGAAAACGGACACTAGAATGAAGTTATGCCAGCAAATCTGTTCCTGTGACCAAAAAACAGCAGCCTGGTGTTTAATGGACTGAATCTAACAACAGGGTCACATTTAAAGAGAACATCTTAAAGAAAACCTGCTGTTTTACGGATGTTTCCTCCTCGTTTTAAAAGGTACCCAAGACTGCCTTTATGAACCAACATGTTCAATTTGAACAAAGGCTCCCATGGAGACCCCTACCATCATGCTGTTTACTGTATCACTTCCTAAATAATGACCTCAGCCACTATTAATCCCAGGCTTTTAGCTAGCAATGCGTACGGGTGTACATTGTACGCCCTTTGGTAAACATATTAGGAATTGTACGCTGTGTTTTTTGGGATGTACGGCTTTGCGACACCCTAATTTTCCCCCCGGAAACTTGGCTCAAATGTTCAATATTTCCCGATCTGGTATAACTGCCCATAATACACATCAGCTTACATTTACAAAATGTACTAAGGGCCTCATCACACCTTGATGGTTTAGCCAGCGTATACGCGACTTCCCAGAATCTCCTAAAAAGCTGGAATACGCTGAACTTTCTATGGATTTATTTCAATTTTGGTGTTCTACATAGCGTATTGATAATGCGTAGTGATAGACAGCCTAACTTATACACAAGCATATCTGATCCACAAGCATAATTTCATTGGCATTACGGTGCATCAGTTAAAGCTGCTTCACTCAGGCGCGTCGCTGCCCTGAGGGCAGCAGCGATGATACCGCCCACCCGAAAAAAAAAGGATAAAAAGAAAAGAGCAGATTGCAGCAGATTCAGCGTAATTTCTGCCAGGAAGTTTGTTGGTCATAGGCGTGAATGCTGGGAGGATCCATTACACTCACCTTCTGACTCACCCTATGATGGGGATGAAGTCTGGGGAAGTTACTGAGGAATTTAGGATAAGCTATATGCCATGAATTATGAGTAACTTACACCTATGAGAACGATCAGAGCTGTAACTTATGCCCCACGTATGAGAATACGCTGGAATACATCGGGAAATTTTGAGCATGCTCAAAACCTTGACATACCTGCCATAGGTCGACGTTTGCCAGCGTGTTTCAGCGTGCTCATAACTTATCCAAAACGTACCCATAACTTATCTGACGTATGCCAGCGTTTATTAGCCAAATTTTCTTTACATCAGGCTGGTCTAAATCGTCAAGGTGTGATGGGGGCTTTAGATACATGAAAAAGTTTCAGCATCTGTTTCAATGTCGGCTGTATTCTTAACAGATGGACAGAAATCCAAGCAGTCCTGGCTGCTTTTCTTCCTCCTCTGTTGGTTTGCAGATGGTGTTGAATTTGCTTCAGTTTGTCATTGTTCTTCAACTTGTTGTTTATGTAACAATCAAGTTTCATCTTTAGCAGTAAGTTAAAGTTACACTTTCTGGTCATTTAAAAAAAAACTATGAAACATAAAATTGTACCTGAAAATGATCCCATGTCTTCCTTATGAAATTTCCACTCCTAGCCAAGCAAACATACATAATCAGGACAAGATTAGTGTTGGACCAAAGACGAGATTTTAGCTGTATTCTACCTCAAAATGCAGGAAATAGTGTTTCAAAGAGTCTACATTTCAACATTTTCCAGGGGAGGATACCTCGGAACCCCCCTATGCCACGCAAAGCCTAAAAATGTGATACACCAAGCTGTACACTTTAGGAACTATTCCTAGCTAAAATCCTTATTGATCCTTGAGGATAGAACAGATTTCTGCAGATAAGTTTGATTTAATGGTTTTCTGTCAGTCTTTGTGTGGAGCTGTTGGGACTGTAAGCTGCTTGTCTGCTGTCTGCCTTCCTCTGTCGCTGTCGTTCCGTTTCCCTCTGCCGCCTCTCTGACATCCATCTGTCCGTCTCCCTCCTATCTCTCTGTCCATCCAGGCTGGATTGATGTAACCTGGGATGCTAGCGGATGCTCTAACTCTTACCGTATGGGCGCTGAAGGGAAGTTTGACCTCAAGCTTGCTCCAGGGTATGACCCTGAGTCGGCTGCCACAGCGCCAACACCCAAACCTGTCTCATCCACTGTTTCAGGTCCCGCCTCATCCACGGTGGGACCCTCTGTGACAGCAGCGGCCATGGGCAGAACCAGCACCACATCAGCATCGTTGTCTTCCACCTCATCTTCCTCCCAACAACCTTCTTGGAGCAGCCTGGTGAAAAATAACTGTCCTGACAAAAGCGGGGCCAGCTCTTCTAGCAGGAAAGGAAGCAGCAGCTCTGTCTGCAGCGTGGCCTCATCCTCTGACATCAGTTTGAGCTCCTCTGCTGGGATGCTTAGTGGAGGGAGTCTAAAGGCGGAGGGGCTGCTCCTTGACCAGGGGGTGGGCTCAGGAGGAGTTTCTGGAGGACCAGGCTGTGATGGACATCAGCAGGAGCCTATTGTGGTTCTGTCCTCGGCTGAGGCGGGATGTGGATCGGGGTCCAGCTCTGGGACGCTCACAGCGGACATGTCTGTGGCTGGAGATGAGCACCAGTCCCCCACGACAACGGCTAGCACTGACCCAGCGACTGCCATCTCCATGGGACTGGTGAGTGTGAGCTCGCCGGACGTGAGCTCAGTGTCCGAGGCGTCCAGCAAGGACACGCACTCCCAGAGGCCTCTGTGCTCGGCTGCAAACACCCGGCTGTCCGTCAGCTCCCTGCTGGCCGCCGGCGCCCCCATGAGTTCCAGCGCCAGTGTACCCAACCTGTCGTCCCGCGAGGCCAGCCTCATGGAATCCTTTGTTCGCCGTGCGCCCAACATGTCCCGAACCAACGCCACCAACAACATGAACCTGAGCCGCAGCAGCAGCGACAACAACACCAACACCTTGGGCCGGAACGTCATGAGCGCTGCCAGTGAGTACTGACACGTTAGGATGCTAACTCTGCTGCAGTGTGCACAGCTTCCTGCTCCGCTAATAATAGAGCATCACTTAGAGGCAGTCGGGGGGCTTAGGGGGGTTTGGCAGAGAAGATCAGTGTTTCGTCTTGTTGTTGATGTCAGATCTCATCACTTGTTGCTGCATGTTGCCAAACCACTAGGTTCAGTTATCCACGAGGAAACCGAATAAACTTTTGGATGGACACAGGTGCTAACGGTCACACATGAAAGTGAAATTTCATAGCAGAGAAGGAGCAGCTGAACTCTGGAGCCCATCAGCTGTGGGCCCAAGGTGACGGAACAATGGGACTAGCAGCAGGTCCAATAACGTCTTTAGCTCACGGATATTGATTGTACAACAGAGTATTAGGGCCACCCTAGAGATTTTTTCTTTAATATGAGAATAAAGTCCCAACATTATGAGAATAATGTTGTATTTTATGACAACTCTTACAAGAAGCAATGTCTTCCCTAAAATGAGGAATGTTGAGCATATTACCATATGTGAAGTTATACGTTGGCATCGGTTTGACAAATAAGGAAATATTGAGACAAAGTGGATTCAGGTTGCTGTTTGGTGTTCCTGGTTGGCCATCAGATGCTCAAAGCTTTCTTTCTGAAACGGTATGTAGTATGAGGACTTTGTTTTTTCTAAAGTAACGACTCTGCTCTCCTAATGTAACGACTCTGCTCTCCTAATGTAGCGACTCTGCTCTCCTATTGTCGCAACTCTGCTCTCCTAATGTAGCGACTCTGCTCTCCTAATGTAGCGACTCTGCTCTCCTAATGTAGCGACTCTGCTCTTCTAATGTAGCGACTCTGCTCTCCTAATGTAGCGACTCTGCTCTTCTAATGTAGCGACTCTGCTCTCCTAATGTAGCGACTCTGCTCTCCTAATGTAGCGACTCTGCTCTCCTAATGTAGCGACTCTGCTCTCCTAATGTAGCGACTCTGCTCTCCTAATGTAGCGACTCTGCTCCCCTATTGTCGCGACTCTGCTCTCCTATTGTCGCGACTCTGTTCTCCTATTGTCGCGACTCTGCTCTCCTATGGTTCGCGACTCTGCTCTCCTATGGTTTGCGACTCTGCTCTCCTATGGTTTGCGACTCTGCTCTCCTATGGTTTGCGACTCTGCTCTCCTATGGTTTGCGACTCTGCTCTCCTATGGTTTGCGACTCTGCTCTCCTATGGTATGCGACTCTGCTCTCCTATGGTTTGCGACTCTGCTCTCCTATGGTTTGCGACTCTGCTCTCCTATGGTTTGCGACTCTGCTCTCCTATGGTTTGCGACTCACTCTGTTCTCCTATGGTTTGCGACTCACTCTGTTCTCCTATGGTTGCGACTCACTCTGTTCTCCTATTGTTGCGACTGACTCTGTTCTCCTAATGTTGCGACTGACTCTGTTCTCCTATTGTTGCGACTGTCTCTGTTCTCCTATTGTTGCGACTGACTCTGTTCTCCTATTGTTGCGACTGACTCTGTTCTCCTATTGTTGCGACTGACTCTGTTCTCCTATTGTTGCGACTGACTCTGTTCTCCTAATGTTGCGACTGACTCTGTTCTCCTAATGTTGCGACTGACTCTGTTCTCCTATTGTTGCGACTGACTCTGTTCTCCTAATGTTGCGACTGACTCTGTTCTCCTAATGTTGCGACTGACTCTGTTCTCCTAATGTTGCGACTGACTCTGTTCTCCTAATGTTGCGACTGACTCTGCTCTCCTATTGTCGCGACTCTGCTCTCCTATTGTCGCGACTCTGTTCTCCTATTGTCTGCGACTCTGCTCTCCTATGGTTTGCGACTCTGCTCTCCTATGGTTTGCGACTCTGCTCTCCTATGGTTTGCGACTCTGCTCTCCTATGGTTTGCGACTCTGCTCTCCTATGGTTTGCGACTCTGCTCTCCTATGGTTTGCGACTCTGCTCTCCTATGGTTTGCGACTCTGCTCTCCTATGGTTTGCGACTCTGCTCTCCTATGGTTTGCGACTCTGCTCTCCTATGGTTTGCGACTCACTCTGTTCTCCTATGGTTGCGACTCACTCTGTTCTCCTATGGTTGCGACTCACTCTGTTCTCCTATGGTTGCGACTCACTCTGTTCTCCTATGGTTGCGACTCACTCTGTTCTCCTATGGTTGCGACTCACTCTGTTCTCCTAATGTTGCGACTGACTCTGGTTTGCGACTCTGCTCTCCTATGGTTTGCGACTCTGCTCTCCTATGGTTTGCGACTCACTCTGTTCTCCTATGGTTGCGACTCACTCTGTTCTCCTATGGTTGCGACTCACTCTGTTCTCCTATGGTTGCGACTCACTCTGTTCTCCTATGGTTGCGACTCACTCTGTTCTCCTATGGTTGCGACTCACTCTGTTCTCCTATGGTTGCGACTCACTCTGTTCTCCTATGGTTGCGACTCACTCTGTTCTCCTAATGTTGCGACTGACTCTGTTCTCCTAATGTTGCGACCGACTCTGTTCTCCTAATGTTGCGACCGACTCCGCTCTCCTATTGTTGCGACCGACTCCCCTCTTCTAATGTTGCGACTGACTCCCCTATTCTATTGTTGCGACTGACTCCGTTCTCCTATTGTTGCGACTGACTCCGCTCTCCTATTGTTGCGATTGACTCCGCTCTCCTATTGTTGCGACTGACTCCGCTCTCCTATTGTTGCGACTGACTCCGCTCTCCTATTGTTGCGACTGACTCCGCTCTTCTATTGTTGCGACTGACTCCGCTCTCCTATTGTTGCGACTGACTCCGCTCTTCTATTGTTGCGACTGACTCCGCTCTTCTAATGTTGCGACTGACTCCGCTCTCCTATTGTTGCGACTGACTCCCCTCTTCTATTGTTGCGACTGACTCTGCTGCGACTGACTCCGCTCTCCTATTGTTGCGACTCTGCTCTCCTAATGTTGCGACTTTATTCTCATATTAATCCCAGCTGTGAATCTTTATGACCCGTATTTCACCGTTCAGAAAAAGATGCAATGTTTCCTGCTTGTAGGGGAGAAATTAAGGTATGGAGGACGACCTTCTCCCAGTTCCACAGCACTCATCCTTTCTCTCGGACTGCGCTCGCCTTATGCTGTTCTCGCACTCGTTCCCTGTTACTTCTAGTCTTTATTTATCCAGTTAGGTTTTAGTGGCGAATCAAACGGGCGCGCATTTGGCAAGAAGAACAGCAGTTATTCTTAAAGTAACAATTTTGCTAAATTTGTCCTCTATACCTTTAAGGAAAATTTAGCAATTTTTGCTTTATCCTTACTCCGTGGGATATGATATCAGGATTAGTGCTCCACATTAGATCACAAATATTAAAATGTCGTTGTGGGTAGTGTTGATATTACCAAAAACAGTGCTGTGTTCACAAACATTGAGAGCAGACTCCCTGCTGTAGACAGTAAAGCTGATGGATCCATGGCAGTGAGGATGTGTGGATTTGTCATTTTTGATCAGTCTCAGTTCAGTTGAGTTAGTCTTCCGGACTGGCTCTTCTTCACCTCTGCTCCAGTCTGAGGAGTTCACTTGGAAATGTTTCTAAGATCAACTTGTCAAGAAAACTTACTCTTTTTTTTTAATTATTTTGTAGGTTTGTAACTCTGGTCCCACAGTGCAGAAATCTCATCATATTAAACCCTGTGTCCCGTCAGCTGCCTCCATCATAACAAACTGTTTTACTGCTTTTTTTCGTTGGTTTCAGACTAACTGCAACTTGTTTTTTTGTTTGTTTGCAGCTTCTCCTCTCATGGGCGCTCAGAGCTTTCCTAATCTCACCACCACTGGCACCACCTCCACAGTTACCATGTCAACTTCCATAGTAACCAGCGGCAATAACGTAGCCACAGCAACAACGGGTCTGTCAGTGGGACAGTTGCTCAGTAACACTCTGACCACGAGCCTGACGTCCACATCCAGCGAAAGTGACACGGGACAGGAAGCAGAGTTCTCACTCTATGGTTAGTACAACCCAACAAAAAAAGAAAATACACGCACACACTAGAGGCACATGTGACCTGCTTCAGCTGCTCGGCCGTCTAACTTCACTCAGTAACCTGCATCCATCCTTTGATTCTAGTTTGAATCAAACTCTTGTTATAAGAATGATTGTGTTAATTCAGCTGTTTACCTATATTTTATTGCCGTTGGAGTAGAGTTCTAAATCGATATTTTCCTCTATTTTGCAAATTTACTCAGCAGGAAGCAAAACTTCTTTATGCTACACTTTGATTTAAAGTGGGATTATGAATGGAAATGATTCACTTCCACTGCAAATAAATGAAGCACAGCTTTACAAGAAGGAGCAAAGTGTTGATGTCCATCAGAGGATTTATCACCAGGAATCACGTTGGTTTGACCGGATGTTTAGAGTAGAAAGTCTGGATTAAATGGCCGATTATTTCTTGGATATTAGGTTTTATTTTTAAGATAATTTTTAGGCTCCAGTGGCCTTTATTTTTTCATTTTTGAAAGTATGGAGACAGGAAAGTGGGTTAGAGAGATGGTAAAGACATTCAGCAAAGGTCAGTAGGACCGGGACTCAAACCTGCAGCAGCCCGTATACGGGTCATGCCCCCAAAATTAGGTCCTCATTCATAGCATTCGTTTTGATGTCTCACAATGGGATACATCCCTTGCCTTATTCCATAGAAGCATTTATCTCATTACGCCAATCCTGATTGGTGGCTGGGATTGCTCCGCGGCTCTCCGCACAGAGGGAACTGGTTAGAGTAACACCTAGCAGAGGCAGCTTATTGATGCAGCGAAATACTGAAATTAGTTTATTGAGCTTTTAAGCAAAGACACAAATGACTTCCTGCTCTGGAAAGTTTTCTTTTTCTACACTAGATGATCCAAGGATCTCTGGGATCAGCAGCTGAGATTCATTTTAGGTTTTATGGTTCAAATTGGTGAAACGATCAAAGCAGTCTTCACTCTGTGATCTCCTCTATTCACAGCTAGGATGAACGGCTGAGTTTATTTAAATATAAACTTCACTGCATCTTGATCTTTCATTTTATTTGTCAGAGTTGCAGTGAGAACCGCTGCTTTTATGGACTTTAATGTCCCAAACACTTGGTTTCTGTCTGTATCGGCCACATGGAATAAAGGCAAGATGGATGCTCTCGGCTATTTCAGGCCTGTGTCTCTAGTCGTTACGACCAGAACAAACGGAAGGTAAACCGGTTCGGGCTGTCCTCTTTCCTTTGTCTGCCATCTGCAGTCACCTCATGTGTTTCTGCAGATTTCCTGGACAGCTGCCGAGCTAACACGCTGCTGGCTGAGCTGGACGACGAAGAAGACCTGCCTGAGCCCGACGACGATGACGACGAAAATGAAGACGACAATCAGGAGGATCAGGAGTACGAGGAGGTCCTGGTATGTTTGCAGTGCAGACGTGTTTAGCTTTGGTCAGTTTGGTTCTGATCTTCATCTTTTCTGTGTTTTTAGGAGGAGGAAGAGTACGAGACCAAAGGAGGACGCAGGAGGACGTGGGACGATGACTTTGTCCTCAAGAGGCAGTTTTCTGCCTTGGTCCCAGCCTTCGACCCCCGTCCAGGAAGAACTAATGTCCAACAGACCACCGACCTGGAGATCCCCTCCCCTGGTAGGCCGCCGACCCCCAACTGGACAACCACCAGTCCAAAGTTGGGAACCATTATAGGGAAATGATGGGTTTGACATTTGACCTCCAGCACAAAGGGCAAGCTCACACCACCACAGCCGCTTGTCACTCTCAGTCGCCTCTTCATGACGTCTGAGAGTCATTTCTTTCCTAGAATTTTCCCACAATGTGTTGATAGTGGTGATATTTCTGGGCTATATTACGGGATGCCTCTAGATGTTTATATTTGCAAACCCTTGCCAGCAGGAGCTGCTTTTCGCTCGCAGTAGCTACAAAGTGCTCTGTGCAGAAAGTCTAACTGCATGGAATCAGTAGCTAACACCCAGCTGGCCGCTAGCACCCCCGTGACTTCCAGCATCAAGCATAAACCAAGCTTTACGCTAGCCAAACATTTAAGGTCAGAAAAAAAGCTGGAACCACCAAGTGGCGTCTTATTTAAGACCCATCAAATTTTATTTAGAAAAATTATTTATATACTTTTTTTTTTTCTTCAGCAAAATTCTGACATTCTGACACTTGAAGCCGGCCATACACTGTACGATTTCTTTTCAATCATTGCACATAGCTACAGCTCGCACTGTAGGACGAACCCACAGGGTTTCGTCCTACAGTGTGAGTTCACAGCTCACAATGTTTGTTCTCACACTATGCGACCCGACGCTCTGATGCGATCTACCTGCTCACACTGCACGTCTAAAAACCAGGTGGGACTCAGCTCCGCAGTGAGATGGCGCTACTCGGACTGGTCTATCCAGAAGCCAAACGAGAAGAAGAGGAATATGAAGCTCACTAGAGTGAAACGCGCTGCCTTGGCAAATTGTGCAATTTTGTGCTGAAAGCCCTAAGAAGAAAAGACTATTTTGGACAAAGACATGACTGAGCAAATGTGGCTACCACATTTTTCGATGTTTCAGGCACTTCTAGTTAAAAAAAAATTAGACTTTGTTGGCATATAGAAATAGAACAGTCAGATCTAAGGAGTCAGTGGATTAAAGCTCAGGTCATGGATTACCAGACCGCAGTCTGGATCCGGACCCACCTGCTGGTTAATCTGGACCCAACCTGATTTAAAACATTTATAAATTACTGCGCGTTGTCTGACGACAGTGTCTAATTTCACTTGTGCTGCTTCTCCTGTTAATACGGTAAAGCCCTTCAGGACCAGGCTGCATGTGATCCAAATTATCCAAATTAGCCAATCAGTCTGGGTTGCTGCTGCTGCTACTTTAAGACACAGCAGGCAAACCTGTGGCAAGATGGGCGATGGGAAAGAAGGAGAAGATGATGAGAAAAACAGCAGAGAAAGTGTGGAAGAACTATGGTGAACTGGTGAAAGAAAAGTGAAATGGTGCTCAAAGATGACCCTGCACATTTAGAGGATGTTTGGCTCAACCTGCTGCTGTGAAGCAGGATTCTCCACCATGAACAGAATCAACAATAAATATGGATCAAGGCTCAAAATGAGCACCTTGATATGTGCTTTAGAATGGCTTAGTCTCAATTCAAACCAGGTTTAAAGCCTTGCAGGGCAGCCTAAAGCCCACTGCCAACATTAAAGGAAAATTCCGGTTTTTAACACTTTTAGCCCATTTTCTGTAGTGTCCAGGATGAAATCGAATGATCGACACCAAAATGTTGACAATTGGTCCTGTTTCTGCTATTTGGCTCATGCAGAATCCCCCCCTGGCTGCTTCAGAATGGCTTCCATAGTGCATGTCAGATAATGTCCTTAAAACAACCTTAAACGTTCTTTTTTTTTAAATATGCTACTCACCGGGTCGTCAGCGCTGTTCGATGACGTTCCAAAAAAAGTTTCGTGAAGAAAAACCGTTCCTGTCTTGTTTTATTTAGCATTTTGTAAATCCCATTGAGTTCTGTTGGAATAGTCAATATCCCTCCGCCACCGGAAACGGAAATGGGGCCTGTTTACACATAGTTGTAGTCTTTTCGCAAGGCCCAAGTGTTTATGCTTCACTCTGTGTACTCCGACGTCGAGGTGCTAACGTCTCTGTTAAACACTTTAAAAAAACTCTGAAAATGGAATACGAAAGGTGGATTCTTGAGGAGGACATATTGGACTTTGAGTTTGACGGTAGAGGATACCGTCGCCAACTAGTGGTCTGGAGTGTGCAACGCTTCAGATTCGAACGGGAAGCGGAAGTTTATAAGCGGTTGTGATGTATCGGAAAAAATAGTTCTGGGATTTACAAAATGCTAAATAAAACAAGACAGGAACGGTTTTTCTTCACGAAACTTTTTTTGGAACGTCATTGAACAGCGCTGACAACCCGGTGAGTAGCATATTTAAAAAAAAGAATGTTTAAGGTTGTTTTAAGGACATTATCGGACATGCACAATGGAAGCCATTCTGAAGCAGCCAGGGGGGGATTCTGCATGAGCCAAATAGCAGAGACAGGACCAATTGTCAACATTTTGGTGTCGATCATTCGATTTCATCCTGGACACTACAGAAAATGGGCTAAAAGTGTTAAAAACCGGAATTTTCCTTTAAGTCAGAAAAAAGAAAAATAACTAATGCTCAGTTCAGGTGTTTGAGAAAATATGGGAATCAGGAAATTGTCTATATACCAAACTGAAAGATTGTTGTTCTCTACTTCAAAAACACAACATTTTAAAATGGAAAAATTTTCTATCTTTTTTTTTTTTCTTCTATTTTTTTATTTCAAAAGTTAATTTATAACATGGATGCATAAAAACCTTGTTTTATTTCAGTGTTAATTCTGCCTAAAGTAACGGATTATGTTTAAAAATGTCTCCAGACCTGTACTGGTTGTTCTTTTTCTTCATTCGGACCCCGGTGATTTTTAATTGGTTACCACTGATCTGTAGGTTTGGATCCTATAAATCCTTTTAGATTTGATCTGTCTTTGTTGTATTTGGGGACCATGAAACTGATACCAAATGACACTGAAGGGCAAAGTCAGGAAGGTTTGGGTTGTCTTGATTACTTCTTTTAAATTGTAGAGTAATAAAGCAGATTCTGTCTCCTCTGGTTCAGGAACTCCTCGATCCGAGGCCCGGGAGGAAGTGGAGTGCGCTCCTTCCCCTCACCTTGCACTGACGCTCAAGGTAAGAAAGGACGATTCTAGATCCTCTGTTTTTGGACACGTTTTTACGGTGTTCTATCCTAGGGAGGGAACATCTGTCCCTTCTATGCTGAAATTCAGACTGCCTTTTTAGGTTACTGGATCTTTTATTAAACGGGTAACAGCTGGGTTCTGGACAGAAGGTAGAGCCCCGAAAGGTTCAAATATCATTCCAAAAGAAAAGACAATTGATCTTTTTTTTGTTCTTCCTCCAGAGCAGAGGACATAGTTGTTCTAAACTAAATCTAACATCCCAGGAAATAATAGCTTAGATGCCAACTGCACCATGGTTCAGGGATCTGACCCGGTTCAGGATTTTAGAATCCATCATGAGTTGTACTGCTTAAGAAGGAGCGACGCTGCAGGAAGTTGGCCCAGATATCAGAGGTTCTGTTAGAGAATGCTTCTGCTGTTTATGTTCTGACCTCCATGTGTGTCTCCAGGTTCCTGGCTTGGGTACCACTAGAGAGGTGGAGCTTCCTCTCTCCAGTTACAAGCTGACCATTTTCTACTACGTTCAGCGGCTGCTGCAGCTCTCCTGCAGCGGCTCAGTGAAGACTGATAAGCTGCGGCGCATCTGGGAGCCCACGTACACGTAAGAGCAGCCAACCACAACCTGACTCAGCGCTGGGGTTCACGTGTTTACTGAGGCCGCTTTGTCCTGCAGGATAATGTACAGAGAGCTGAAAGACTCTGATAAAGAGAAGGACAGCGGGAAGATGGTAGGTTCATCCTTATCGCAGCTATTTTGGTTCTGGAGGCACCTTAATGCTGAGCTCTGATCATTTCTGTCCTCAGGAGTCCTTTGAACACAGCTCAGGGGTCGGGGGCCGCTCCGGCGGTCTGAGTCCGAGCTCTCTGATTGGCAGCCAGAGCAGTGAGATCCTGGGTTGGGTCAGAGAGGCTGCCCAGGCTAAAGCTGGATGCAGCCAGACCGCCTGTGGGATGGAGGATGTCCTGCAGCTGCTGCGTATCCTCTACATCATCGGAAGCGACACGGCATCTAACGCACGCACGTTGCAGGAGGGTACGGCAGACATCTTCTCTTTGTTAGACTTCATCAAAGCTCTTATGCAGCTGGTCCTCTCAGTTTATCACTTCAGCTTTACTGTAAAAACTTCATAAGCAGGGCTACCTCAGCATAATACGGAAGAACGGCAGCTCCCAGTTTGGTAGGGATTAGGGCTGCAACAACGAATCGATAAAAATCGACTTTTAAAAGCGTTGGCAACGAATTTCATCATCGATTAGTTGTGTCGCGCGATTAATGCGTCATCCGCCGCCGTCGTCATTGCCGTGGGGCGCCTCCCCCATCCCAACCCCGTTCTCCCGCAGGAGTCCCTCTCAGCGCTGCAGTCAGAGCCGCAGGATGTTTACCCTCATCGTCCAGACTGCAAATGAAGCGCGCATGCGCCGGGGTTGATGGCGCAAATTGATCACAATAATTAAAATAGCCTGCGCTTTGTAAAGTGAAAAAAGTCGTATCATGCAACTTTTGTCAAAACAAATTAACATGGCACGGAACCACCATGTTTGTTTCGTTTTAAAGTGGGGAAACGTAACGTTAGTTTCTCAGGTAGCTCATCTGATGCTTTCCTTACCGTGTTAGTAGGTTACAGACAGTGATAAGGTTGGCTACTTATTTTACTTTTAATTTCATTTGAATTAGCTTAAGCAGCGTTTATATTTTCTTTATAAATAAATTAACTTGCAAATTATGAGGGCAAGGCTTTTAAAGTTTAAATCTTCTGGCAAAGATAAAGTAAAGAAGATCCTGCAATTTATGGAAGTAAAGCAGAATAAAATCCAGCAAGATCAGTAATATGTCAATTAATTATATGCCACATTCCAATGTAAATATCTGTCTTTGGAGGATGTGTTTTTTTAACACCCCTAGTTCTCTCATTTTTGTTCCAAATATAATTTGAATCACAGGGCTATTTTTATCTCTATGGTTCAGTATTTTCTCAAGTAGCAACTTTAACTGCTATACTTTCCTGTCTTAAAAGGCAGAACTCTTCTAGTCTAAAAAAAACTCATTTGTTGAAATGGGGGGCCTATTGTTTGAACCCCGTAGGGGCTTTTAAAAACAAAAATGCCTGTCTTTTTTGCACTTTATGAAACAAAGTACCCTATATTTTGTGGATGTACAGCTACATTTCTCATGTAAGTTTGCGTAGTTTTTACACAAACATTTATTTTTCATATTGCACCAGGACAGTTAATGAGCAACCTGTATTTGTGTGCTTGTTTGTTCTGTCTAAAATTTTTGTTTTAGAATAAAGAGGTTAATATAAAAAATACTTTTTGTCCGATTCATCGATTAATCGAAAACATAATCGGCTGATTCATTGATTTTTAAAATAATTGTTAGTTGCAGCCCTAGTAGGGATTAGAGACTGGAATAAGACTGGTTTGGAAGGGGGTCAGAAACAGTAAGAATTATATGGAGGATCTCAGACTTTTTTCACATAAATCTCTAAACAATTTTTTGATACTGAGGCACTAAATATATACATTTAGATTTGAGACTGAAGGAATTCTTTTTTTCTTTTTTTTTTATATACAATTTTTTTTAAAACATGTACAGTGGCATGTACAGTACATGCTTTATAGTTGTTCCAATTCCTTTGGTGACGGTGAACAATGTAACAACATCTACGCAGCATTTTAAAAATGTATATTTTCAGAAACCCCATCCTACCCTTCCTGTGCCGGCAAAGAAAAATAATTAAATAAAATTAATAATAATGAATGATAATAATAATAAAAAAAACATTTCTAATAAGAAAAGACTTTATGTTGAAGCTTGTTTACTAATGAGTGGGAAGAGTTGCAAGTTAGTTGAAATAAACCAGTAAAGGGTCCTATACTTTGAAGAATGTTTTGGTTGATTCTCTAAGAAAGTGTTTAACGTTTTAGCAACATCATCATAACAGGAAGCCGCATTGATGCCTTCGGTGGTAATCGGTATTTCTATTCTAAAAGTATTGCAAGAGCGATAACATTTTTCTCGCTATTGACCATTGCAGCGTCTGCCCCAAATATAGCCATTATCGGGCTAGGTTGTAGATCTAGGCCAAAAGCCACATTCAAAATCCCAAATATTGTTTTCCAAAACTCTCCCAGCTTAGAGCAGGACCAGAACATATGAGCCAAGTCTGCGTTGGTGGTTCCACATGGATCACATGTCTGATCTATTTCAGGGTAGATTTTAGCAAGTCGGACCTTCCTATAGTGAGTACGATGGTGAACTTTAAATTGAGCCGGATTGAGACGTAGACAAGAAGTTCCATTCACCCAGTTGAGTGCTCTAATCCACAGCGGTTTGTAATGACTGTCCCTAATTCTTCTTCCCTTTTTGTCTGTTGATACACTTCTAAATTAACCTGACTCCGCCAGATGGATTTGCTCCGCATATCCATCTGGAAACCTTCCGTTGAAGTAATTTTGGGAAGGGGCGAAAATACTGGTGAGCTGATTGGCCTATGTTGGTGATAGACGGGCCAAATAAACCAATCAGATAAACGAAGCATATGACGTACTAACAGAGCGACGACAAAGAGGAGCCAATTGATAGATCAAACTGCCGAAACCAGTCGGGAGAAGAGCAGAAACATCTTTTCCTCTGAGAAAAGCCTCCAGAGCAGTGTTTTGCTCTTCTTTCAGTGAAGAAATACTCTGTAATTCCGATAAAACTTGCCCGATAGCCACGCTAACGCTAGTTTCATCGGCTGAAGCCGCCATGTTCTTTAGACTGAACTGTCGCGCTTCTCGTTGCGTCACACCTCAACCCGCCTCAAAGCCAACGCTGATTGGACGTTCGTTTGGTGAACTGCTCCAAATTTTCTTCAACGGAGAGTCTCCAGACTGATTTGCGAGTGAAACCTTGAAAGCTCGCGAGATCAAGATGGTCTCACGAGGCTACTTCTAAATGACATAATTGAGTTATATAAATTAAAGGTTTAGCGATATCTGAAGATATCGGAAAAAACTGGATTTAGGAATAGAGTTGTTTTTTTGGGGGGGCCAAATCTATGAAAGTAGGAAATTATTATCTATGAAAACATCCTTTCCATTAATCTTTTTTTCACATTATTGTACATCCCTGAAGTGATTGAACTGCTTCTATAAACACTCAGTTCAGAGCCTTTTAAGGTTAAACATGGAGGTTTTTATATATATATAAAAAAAAAAGAACCAGGAACAGATCTCAGAATAAAGAGGAAGATGTAGTAAAATCCCTTTCTGCATTTCCTGATTTGTTTTCTCCTTTAACTGTTCAGATGTTGAGGAGCTGCAGTTCAATGCATCACCAGAGGAGTTCACCAGCAAGAAGATCACTACCAAGATCCTGCAGCAGATAGAGGTCAGGCTCTTCTTTTTTTGTTGGAATCTGCGATATTATGTTTACTGCCAATCAGGCATTGGTTGGTCAGGAACCTGAAGTTTAAACTAGACTTCTTAAAATTCTTTTTGTACCCTTTGTTCTGATTTTTCTCATTCTGTTTTAAGTTAAATATTTATTCGGTAAGTTTCTCTGAGCTTAAGGTTCCGATTTCTTGAGCTAGTGAGGGTCATTTTCTGTTGTAGAGACAGAAACCGTCAGCTAAGCTAGCTGTGTGAATGCTTTGCTTTGTGGTTGATCTCCTCCAGGAGCCTCTGGCGGTGGCCAGCGGAGCGCTGCCTGACTGGTGTGAACAGCTCACGTCTAAATGTCCGTTCCTGATCCCCTTTGAGACCAGACAGCTGTACTTCACCTGTACAGCTTTCGGAGCTTCCAGGTGAGTCTCAACGCAGCACGATAACAAGTAGAAGCTCTGCTATCGGAGGGGAAGGGTATCAGCCATACCAGGCCTGCTTAAAAGAATCCCAGCTCTGCTTTGGTTGTTCCTATGGTAACAACCTTTCCATTGAAGTGAAATGCTTTAGTATAGGAGGGTACTTTGTCCTTAATTAATGCTAGAAGACCCAGATCCTATGGAGACGTTTAAGTTGTTTTCTGTTCTGTTTGTTTTTTATGTCACTGGATCCCGTCTGAACAGGGTTTTTTTTTTAAGTGTAAATGAAACAGTTAATCAAACTTAATTCATTCTTTAATTTACTATTCTCAACAATATTAAGTATGTGAAAAATATAAATGTTAAATAAAAAAAACAAAGCTTTGTTTTATAATTTCTTGACATGGCGCCAGCATGTTGCAGTACTTTAAACGGTGATGTCACAGCATTCGTTGATGCTTCAGCTAGCAGTTGAACACATTGGATATACCAGTGATACATCACAACCGTAGAACACTTTGAACAAAATTTGGTATGAAGGTGAAAGTACAGGATCGTCTAAATCCTTTTGCTCATGCTTTTGAGTCCATTCGGCGTCTGAATCGAGCCGTAGGAAGGAGGGAAGAGGCCGTTTTGGCGCCGGGGGCCGACTATCCGCGCTACCTCAAAGAACACCGGTTGCAGAGATTATTTACAGCAGAAGGCTTTTGACTTTTATCGATGGATTCAACTGCCAGCTGAAATATCAACCAATCCTGTGACGTCACCACTTGGAGTACTGCAACATGGCGGTGCCCTTGCCAAAAAAATGATAAAACATTGCTTTGTTTTTTCTTTACATTTGTAACATAATCATTAATGATAGTAAGACACAATCTGGTGAACTTTAAGCGGCTATACTTGTTATGGTGCTGGTGTCCTGACCTCTGACCTCTGTGCCTCCACAGGGCCATCGTCTGGCTCCAGAACCGACGGGAGGCAACCATGGAGCGTTCACGGCCGTCCACCACAGTGCGGAGGGACGACCCTGGAGAGTTCAGGGTGGGCCGGCTCAAACACGAGCGAGTCAAGGTCCCCCGAGGGGACGCCATGATGGAATGGGCTGAATCAGTCATGCAGATTCACGCCGACAGGAAGTCTGTGCTCGAGGTAGGAGATGAAGACGCTCAGAACACATGATGGGAACCCTGACTCCGTTTTAACGTTTCTGGAGTCTGACTCCTCTGTTTCTAGAAGGTGACACTCATGTTTATTGCATTCAGGTGGAGTTTCAGGGCGAGGAGGGAACTGGTCTTGGTCCAACGTTGGAGTTTTATGCTCTGGTGGCGGCAGAGTTCCAGAGGACGTCTCTGGGTATCTGGCTGTGTGATGACGACTTCCCTGACGACGAGTCACGACAGGTCAGACACTTTAAATGAGTTGATTATAGAGCTGTTGACCTTCTGAACTGTTAATATGTAATGATGGTTAAGATGATCTCTGTTGGCTCTACTTTATCCTCATTATTTGGAGCCCATGTGAGAACATAAAGTGGCTCAGAGGGAAAATCCTCTACGAGATTTTGAGTTTAATGTGTGATTAAAAAAAAAATTGATTGTGATTGATTCATGAAAGTCAGACCACCCTAAACTACTCTAAATTACTTCAAACGGTTCAGGGATCCAGAATGTTCTACAAAGATTGAACATTTAGTTTGAATTGGTGAAATTTGTAAATGAAAGTGAATTTGGTTCCTGGGTTTGAGCCAACTAGATCTAGAAAGGTAGGAGTTTTACTTTCTGCCAGTTAAAGGTCCAGTTCTTTGATTTGCACCAGTTTGAACCCAGCAGACGCATCTCTGATGTGATTCAGTTCTGACCTTTCTGTCTCGGTGGCTTTAGGTGGACCTGGGTGGGGGTCTGAAGCCTCCTGGTTTCTATGTGCAGCGATCCTGCGGGCTGTTCCCGGCCCCCTTCCCACAGGACAGCGAGGAGCTGGAGCGAATCACCAAACTCTTCCACTTCCTGGGGATCTTTCTGGCCAAGTGCATCCAGGACAACCGACTGGTGGACCTTCCAGTGTCTCAGCCCTTCTTCAAGCTGCTCTGCATGGGAGACATCAAGGCAAACATGAGCAAGCTGCTGTACCAGTCGCGCAGCTCTCCTCCGGGTCACGTCTCTGAGCGAGCCCACCTGCTGTCAGAGGTGCAGTCGGAGGCGTCCACTGAGGAGAGCCAGGAGACCTACTCAGTGGGCAGCTTTGATGAAGACTCCAAGTCAGAGTTCATCATGGACCCCCCCAAACCAAAACCCCCCGCCTGGTACCATGGCATCCTAACCTGGGACGACTTCCAGCTGGTCAACCCTCACAGGTCAGAGAAACAAGGACCTAATAGATGTCTGACCCCCCCATTTATGTTTTGACTGATATTTTTGAACCTCCGAATTATTCAAACTCTATAATGGTGAATAACACGGCTTTTCTTCCCGGCCATTAATACTGCTCTGGGTCTTGCTACGCAGAAGCAGGAAGAAAAACAACCGCCATGGCAGACTATAATGCGGAGAGCAGTATTCATTTTCAACTTTTTTGAAAATATTGCAGCTTTAATACACTGGCTGAGGTTGGGAATGGAATGAAAAATTGAAGGATGCGCTCTAGCTCAAACGTCCATGTTTTCTTCCCTAAACACAGAACACTCTCGCTACTTGTGATGTCATTGCGTTCTCTACTGCACATGCAGGACACTTAAGATCACATGCAAGTCGCATATATTTACAAATGAACTTCAACGCAAAAGAATCGGATTTCACAGCATTGAGCGTTAAGACTTGCAGGAACGTAGCTTAAGACTCACTCGGTTTCTTCCTGCAGCCTCTTAGGTGGCTGCAATGCCCTTAACCCATTTAGGCCTAAAACGCCTGGAAAAAACACCTTAAAAACCTATGGCCGATTTTAAAAAATACCCCTAAAACCTGAAGTTTTTCTGTAAATTCAGCAACTGTGTCAACGCCTAGTAAATTATTGATATCTCAGCTTCTGTAGCAGATAGAACTCAAAATATATTTTATCTTTGAAATTCTTCCAAAAAAAAAAGTGAAAAGCAGTAATAAAAAAATAAAAAATTCAACCTTTATTTTTTCCATATGTGATCATGTCTTCATTGAGAATGTGCAATATAAAACGTTTTTAAAATAAAGAACAAACATTACATAAATAACTATCTGATGATTACTTATTAACAGTATTATTATGCATAATAATGCATATGTCTGTGTTATAAATTGCATACAACTTACCTCCAGATGGCCACAAATCTGTCCCGGGACATATTTTGGGGGAACTGCGTCCTGAAGAGAGGTTTACTCTGTCGCCAATAATCTCTTCGTACTGGCAACACAAGAAGTCCCATGCCCATACACAGCCCAATAAATGTCTTCATCTCCGTCACAGTCACGGGTGACCACTTTGCCATCTTTGCTCTTGTTGGAGTTTGGTTTGTTTGGTCACTGTACCTATTCGTCTCGGTAACAAGATGCATCCAAAGTTCTTCATTAAAAATATGCTCAAATGCCTGCAGCGGTGTGGCGTCTGCAGGCAAATCAACTTTCACTCCAGGTGTGCGGTTGAAAACACTCCGTGCATTGCGGTGGTAGTTCGATTGGTTCAGCGCGTTCAAAGTCATCATTTTCATCTATACCGTCATCAAAGCCGACACACTCCTCAAAATCACTGCCTTCCGACATCTCTTCTCTGTCAAACTCCTCCATGTTTGCTTGAAAAAAACTTCTTTCTTCTTGCTTGACTTATATGCTCTCCCGGCGTCAATGGTAGAATTACGCAACAGCGCCCCCGGCTTGAATGGTAGAAATGCGGTAATGCTTTCCCGGCCTAAATGGGTTAAAATGGGTTCGCTGCTGGGAGAGTAAAACAGATCAACGCGTCCAAGCGTCAAATAAACAGTTGTTATGGTAACAGTTAATGAAAAACCACTAAATCTAGAGACGAACATATCAGTGTTTGTGAACATGTTTGTTTGTGAATGTTAACTGCTGTGGAGTTAAACCTCATCACTATTCTGTCATCTACCAGCATCGTTTTCTTAATGCTGAGCTTTCTGACTCCAAAATATCACCTCAATGAGCCATAAGCCACCTTTTCCATTCATTAAGATCTGGAAAATTTTGTTCTATAAAACCTTTAGGCCCAAAATATCCTTTATAATCCATCTGATTTCAGATTGGGTGGCTGGATTAGCTGAATTCTTCCACTGTTCTCAGGTCGGATTTATGGAGACGAAGACAAAACGTGAAACTTTTAGATTCAAATAATTTGAATCTAAATTCTTCCTGTCGAAACTTTTGTGTTTAAGTTGAAATGGAAATCCCTTCCTAACCTTAAATTTAAAATGGTTTTTCTTTTTTTTTTTTCTTTTTTTTTTTTAGAGCAACTTTCCTGAAGGAGGTCAAAGATCTGGCTGTGAAGAGGAGACAGATTTTGGCCAGTAAGAGTTTGTCGGAGGACGAGAAGAACACTAGACTGCAGGACTTGATGCTGAGGAACCCCATGGGCTCCGGACCCCCTCTTAGCATCGAGGACCTCGGGTAAAACGCGTGCAACACCGCAGCAGCTCAGGTCCAGGCTGCCGTGGGAACTGAACAACATGTTTCTCCTCCTTTTTCAGGTTAAACTTTCAGTTCTGTCCATCATCCAAGGTTCATGGCTTTTCCGCTGTAGACCTGAAACCAAATGGAGACGACGAGGTAACGGCTCCGAATGATCCGGATTTCCTGTCTCAGGCTGCTAAATCTGACTCTGATGTGATTGTGTGAGCGCAGATGGTGACGGTGGAGAACGCGGAGGAGTACGTGGAGCTGATGTTTGACTTCTGCATGCACACAGGGATCCAACAGCAAATGGAGGCCTTTAAAGGTAAACGCAGAACCTGATCAGTACCTTCTTTATGCAGCAGGTCTGCTCCTCTCTCTGCTGTTTCCACACTTTTAACTTCCCACAGAGGGAAGTTCAGTCAGCCAGAATAAACTCTCCTCTACCTGAACTAATGTCTAAATGAGTGACGGCAAAGCAGCCCAGCAGCTACTCTTCAGTGATTCTATTCAGTTTATTTCTATAGCACCAATTCACATGTTACCTTAAGGCACTTTACAGTTCACCAGATCATCCAGTCCGATCAATTCAAAGTTTTCTATCTAAGGAAAACCAGCTGGTTGCATCGACTCATTGACTCTTCAGCAATCCCTCACTCTAAGCATGCTTGTAGCGACAGTGGAGAGGAAAAACTCCCTTTTAACAGGAAGAAACCTCCAGCAGAACCAGACTCAGTGTGAGCGGCCATCTGCTGAATCCCACTGGGGTTCAAGGAGACAGAAGCAAACATAGAAAAAGAAGCATAGATACAAAAAGCAACTGTCAACCAGCTCCACAGGCGGCCCCGTCCAGGAAACACACAGCCAGGCAGACGAGCTCCGAGCCAGCTCCCATGTCAGAGGATGAAGAGAGCACATCCAGTTAGTCACATTCAGAGAAACAGGACTACACTGAAAAACAGGCTGATCTCCAACATCTAGAAACAAAGGTGTTGATGGCAGCAGCACAGCTGATATTTCTCTCCAGGATGGAGTCACAGCCAAAAAGGAACAGACCAGATGAAGCTACTATGAGAAAAAGCAGAGAGAGCAGAACGTTAGAGATTGAACTAACAGATTCTGCAGAGTGAGAGAATAGAGATAGAATGGGGTCCCTATGTCCTCCAGCAGTCTAAGCCTATAGCAGCATAACTATAGAGATAGCTCAGGATAACCTGAGCCTCTATAAGGAAAGTTTTAAGCCTAGTCTTAAAGGTAGACGGGGTGTCTGCTTCACAGACTAAATTAAAAACATTGGGTTGATCTAAGGGCTCCAGAAAACAGAACAAAAGGAGGCGGAGCAATACCTTTCAGAGTAAACTTTACAATGATTGTTACTTCAGATGCCCAGTGATTAAAATCTAAAGGCCTGAAGACAACAAATCCAATTTTGCGACCGATCAGACAGAAAATCGTTCAGGACGAGGTCATGGCATTAAGCGCTCATTAAGTCAGTGATGATGATCACATCCGACACAATCTTATGCAGGATGGCTGCATAGATCTGACTGAGATAGAGCCCAGGTCTATTTTAATCAGACTACGCAGCAATTCAGCTGCAATTTCATGGCTCTGACAGGAAGAGAGATGCAGTTACAAAGTAAAACACATCTGCTTTGGGGGAAAATACAAAATAAAATCTGTTAATCTCACGGGAAAAATCAGAGAGGCATGCTTCAGTGGTGCAGTGGTTAGCACGAACAACCTGTGTACGGAGGCCTTACCCCTTGCTCACACTGGCTCCGGTGCGGTTACCGAGCCGACGGAGACCGCAACTCCCGCACACCCCCTCTCACACCGCCCTTTTGACTACGGTGCGGTGCGGCTCTGCGGCTCCGGCAACAGGTCCGGAGTTTAACAGAAGTTCACTTGAGTTCACGTAACTTCACGCGATAACACGGCCCAAATAAGGATATTTGCGAGAGCTTGTTGCGGAGGGCTCCGGCACGCCGCAAGGATAGCTTTTTTGCGGAATTTTCTGCAGCGCCGGAGTGTCTCGGTAACCGCAGCCGGACAGCTCAGCAGCCGGTGAAAGAGGTTTATGTCTTTTTAATGACTTGGAATCACTGCGGCGCCGCACCCACCGCACCGCAACGGTAAGACCGGAGTCAGTGTGAGCCGGGGGTTAGTCCTCGACGTGGCTGACCCGGGTTCCAATCCCACTTCTGGTCATTTTCCACATGTCTCTCCCCTTCTGTCTCATACCCCTTTCCTGTCAGCCCACTGTACAAAAAAAAACAAGGCACTAGTGTTTCAAGCATTTTTTTGTGAACGTTTGATTCCCGGTCAGGTGATCATGAGAGGCTAATGGCCGCCAGTTGCACTGCGTTCTACCCCACTCAGGACACAGGATGAAGAATCTCGGCCTGATCCAAAGTATTCCAGCATATTCCACCAATCAAATCCATCGAAGATTGTCTGGAGTTCTGCAAATGGCCTGTTTCTGTTTTGATGCTCATGAACTCTGCTCTCTCCTTCAGAGGGTTTTAATCGAGTGTTCCCGATGGAGAAGCTGAGCTCCTTCAGCCATAAAGAGGTGCAGATGGTCCTCTGCGGCAACCAGTCGCCTTCCTGGAACGCTGATGACATCATCAACTACACAGAACCAAAGCTGGGTTACACCAGAGACAGGTACCGCCCGAGTTACACACAGTTCTGATTCTAGAATCCAAACGAACCCGACAGGAGGACTGAGTTTGCTTTGCTCCCCTCAGCCCGGGATTCCAGCGTTTTGTCCGAGTTTTATGTGGAATGTCGTCTGATGAGAGGAAGGCCTTCCTGCAGTTCACCACCGGCTGCTCCACCCTGCCCCCTGGTGGCCTGGCCAACCTACACCCACGCCTCACTGTAGTCCGGAAGGTCTGTTTGCTCTTTGAGTTGTTAAAATCTCCCAGCTTGACTTTGTAAGCTGAGTGGCTGATGTTCTCCTCCTCAGGTGGATGCAACAGACTCCAGTTACCCATCAGTAAATACCTGCGTTCACTACCTGAAGCTCCCTGAATATTCATCCGAGGACATAATGAGGGAGCGTTTGTTAGCTGCCACCATGGAAAAGGGCTTTCACCTAAACTGACCTTTGAAGATGGCCACCGTCACACCGAGCATGCCCCGAAATCATCTGTCCGTGTTGCCAGAACATCCAGCGGAGCGACGGCCTGCCTGCCGCAGGAGGACGCCTCTTGGAGAACATCTGCAGCCCTCACACCTCTCACGCTTCCCTACTGACGTCCATGTGAGCATCCAGGGCTTAGGTTTCCAGTCGAATGCTGCAGGCTGGTGTGTGTGTTTGTTTGCCTTCACGCACCGGTCCGTTCAGTTCAGTGCCTGGTTTTGACCCGGTTTGTTTTCAGTTCCTCCATTAGAAGTTCCTGCTTGTTTTTCGTTCTCATCTTTTTGTTTTTTTTCCCTCCTTTCCATTCAGCTGGTGAGTGAGTGTGGGTGTGTATGTGTGCAGCACTTTGGTTTGTTTCAGACCTGCTAAAAAGGTCAGAATTCAGTTTTTTGGTGTTTCCTCTCTGATTAAGCTAAAGAGAAAAAAAAACACTGATTGTGTGTGATGCACATCTATTAAAAAAAACAACTCTGCTCCCTGTATTTTCTTTGTATATTGTAAACATTTATTTAACTGAAGTTGCAGTTTCAGGTAAACAAATATTTTCAAATGTGTATGCTCCAAAAAAGATAATCAATAAATTGTTTGCAAAGTATGAATTAAAGTTGAGCTCCTGTGGTTTGTAGAAGGTTGGTCACTGTTTTCATTTAGAAGTCGGTGAATTTAAAGGCGTTTTCAGCAGACATGGGCAGACGCCCAGGGTGGCTCTGCCATATAGGGCGGCATCGGCATGAGATCCCCCTCCGTGCTTATGCCCACACGCACCGCTCCTGCGCACTAGGAGCACAATGAGTGGGAAAAACAACCAATTATCCACACAAAAGTTTTTTTTTTCTGTATAACTGCTTTTGTGCGTAAGTAAATATAAATGGCAGAGGCACATTAGTTTACGCTCCCACCGCACACACATCTTTCTACATTCTCTCACTGCCCCCCCTGCAGGTGCTCCAGCGTACACTCCCTCGAGCGCGCAACTGTTTGAGCGAGTTTTTACATGGTGCTAAAGATGGAGCCGTATAAAAGGAAGCTATCAAGCTATCAGAAGTTCGAAAGAGGGAGACGAGGAATGATGTTGCCTCTGTGAGAGACGACAGGACATTCAATTCATTTATATATTTTTTTTTTATTCAAATATTTGATTTTTAGTATTTCATAGCAAAGAAACAAAAATAGAGAAATAAACCTAAAACGGTGAGGTTCAGTGTGAATCTGTAAATGACTGTCAACATTACATTGTAGACATGTAGGTGCAGAAATTTTCCCATTTTTTCCTTCATGGTTTCATTCACGCAGTGTCGTCTTCCCAGCATCTTTTCGCACGCCACATTTTGAGTTATTCATTCTTTTCCAGATTCTAAATCTTGGGCCCTGAGAGTTCTTCCAAAATTTTAAGATGAGTCAGGAACATGTAACCAATGCAGTATTTAGTAACCTGACAACAGCCAGATGCATGTCTAGCTCCACCTAGCTCCACTCACATACACTATATTGCCAAAAGTATTTGCTCACCTGCCTTGACTCACATATGAGCTTAAGTGACATCCCGTTCCTAATCCATAGGGTTCAATATGACGTCGGTCCACCCTTTGCAGCTAGAACAGCTTCAACTCTTCTGGGAAGGCTGTCCACAAGGTTTAGGAGTGTGTTTATGGGAATTTTTGACCATTCTTCCAGAAGCGCATTTGTGAGGTCGCACACTGATGTTGGACGAGAAGGCCTGGCTCTCAGTCTCCGCTCTAATTCATCCCAAAGGTGTTCTATCGGGTTGAGGTCAGGACTCTGTGCAGGCCAGTCAAGTTCATCCACACCAGACTCTGTCATCCATGTCTTTATGGACCTTGCTTTGTGCACTGGTGCACAGTCATGTTGGAAGAGGAAGGGGCCAGCTCCAAACTGTTCCCACAAAGTTGGGAGCATGGAATTGTCCAAAATGTCTTGGTATGCTGAAGCATTCAGAGTTCCTTTCACTGGAACTAAGGGGCCAAGCCCAGCTCCTGAAAAACAACCTCACACCATAATCCCCCCTTCACCAAACTTTACACTTGGCACAATGCAGTCAGACAAGTACCGTTCTCCTGGCAACCGCCAAACCCAGACCCGTCCATCAGATTGCCAGATGGAGAAGCGCGATTCGTCACTCCAGAGAACGCGTCTCCACTGCTCTAGAGTCCAGTGGCGGCGTGCTTTACACCACCGCATCCGACGCTTTGCATTGCACTTGGTGATGTATGGCTTGGATGCAGCTGCTCGACCATGGAAACCCATTCCATGAAGCTCTCTGCGCACTGTTCTTGAGCTAATCTGAAGGCCACATGAAGTTTGGAGGTCTGTAGTGATTGACTCTGCAGAAAGTTGCCGACCTCTTCGCACTATGCGCGTCAGCATCCGCTGACCCCGCTCCGTCAGTTTACGTGGCCTACCACTTCGTGGCTGAGTTGCTGTCGTTCCCAAACACTTCCATTTTCTTATAATACAGCTGACAGTTGACTGTGGAATATTTAGGAGCGAGGAAATTTCACGACTGGATTTGTTGCACAGGTGGCATCCTATCACAGTTCCACGCTGGAATTCACTGAGCTCCTGAGAGCGACCCATTCTTTCACAAATGTTTGTAAAAACAGTCTGCATGCCTAGGTGCTTGAATTTATACACCTGTGGCCATGGAAGTGATTGGAACACCTGATTCCAATAATTTGGATGGGTGAGCAAATACTTTTGGCAATATAGTGTATGTATGTGAGTGGAGCTAGGCGGAGCGAGACGTGCAATCTGGCTGTTGTCAGGTTAAGTATTTAGCGCTCTATAATGATTAACATTGGAACCTCTTTTGTCTCCAAGTAAACAAAGCTTAGGTGATTTGGGCAGATTAAAGCATAACCAACCCTGCATGTATATGAAAACACTGTTCCACAAAGGAGAAACCACTGGACATGCCCAAAGGGAATGCATGAAGTCCCTTTAGCAATCAGGCATTTCCAGCCAATCGTTTCTGCCAACACTAATTTTATACAGCCTAGAAGGGATATATCAGTCATGGATTTCTCTAATGGGAAACCAACAGTTGGAATTGAATCCCATATATTATTCTACATCCTAAATCTCTTTCCCATAGACTTTTTCTTGTATTGTTTTTAACCCAGGGGCAGATATACCATTTTGGGGCTTTGAGCAGTTATGGGGGTAATAGCAGAAAGGTCTAGCGTTTTTTCATTTATTAAAGTAACATTATCTTTCGGTCTCTGATTTGTAAATACTTCTAAAAGTGGTCATGACCTTCAAATTGAAATTTCCTTTTGATATCATATGACATAAATATGTCGATCACCTATGGTTCTAATACCTTTTCTTAACCGCTGTGCCCAGTAAATAGTCTATTTCAGGGGTCACCAACCTTTTAAAGGCTGAGGGCTACTTCATGGCTACCGAGTCATAGGAAGGGCTACCAATACTGACCTATGAACTGGAGGGATCAGTGTTCACCTACAGTAAATCTCATCCATAAAAACTAATTTTTATTCTTATTTTATTCTTTTATTCATTTCTAATTTTCTTTTTAATGTCATTTTGAAACCACTGAAACATGATATAATACATAAATGATTAAAAAGAAGAGCAACAGAATAAAAAAAAATAACTTAACGCACTGAGTGAGTTCTTCTGTTTTCAGAAGAAGAAGAGGGCCCCCCATATGGTCCTTGAGGGCCCCTTGGTGCCTTGGTTGGTGACCCCTGGTCTATTTAATATTTTGGGTTATGCCACAATGGGGGCGCATTTGTGCACATATGTTACAAGCTTGTATTTTTTTATGTACCTCCAGCCAAGCCATTTAAGAAAATTTCAAGATAGGATTTTGTGTTTTATTCCCTTTATTTCACTTGTTATAAAATATCTATTGGTGTGAATAATGAGGCAAGTTCTATTAAAATCCAATCCAGGTTGATTCCCCAACCCAATGGTTGGACAATTCAAAAGAAATACTATACTGTCCTATATTGGGCCGGGCCAACCACCCTTTTCTCAGTTGGCACAGCCGACTAATGTTAATACTGGGTTTACCACCATTCCAAAGAAAGTGTTGGATCATGTTATTGTAGCAGAGATGGGAAATGTGGAGTCAACAAGTCATCTCCACGTCATGTATTTGTTCTAGCCACCCACTGAAGCAGGTGAGTCCAATCTTCACCGTAAATCAACCAGTGCAGATTGGACTCACATGGTTAATTGGCTGGGTAGATTAAATACACGACATGGAGATGACTTGTTGACTCCACATTTCCCATCTCTGTATTGTAGCTTTTTGGTATTGGCCTTGGTACACACACACACACACAGTGAGGAGAATTAAGTTTTTAACATCCTGCTATTTTGCAATTTCTCCCAATTAGAAATCATGGAGGGGAAATTTTCCTTACAGGTGCATGTCCACATTTTCCTACACTGCAGGAGGGATTTTGGCCCACTCCTCCACACAGATCTTCTCTAGATCAGTCAGGTTTCTGGGCTGAGAAACACAGAGTTTGAGCTCCCTCCAAAGATTTCCATTGGGTTTAGGTCTGGAGACTGGCTAGGCCACACCAGAACCTTGATCTGCTTCTTCCAGAGCCGCTCCTTGGTTATCTCGGCTCTGTGTTTCGGCTCATTGTGATGCTGGAAGACCCAGCCTCCACCCATCTTCATTGCTCTAACTGAGGGAAGGAGATTGTTCCCCAGAAGATGGCAATACATGGCCCCGGTCATCCTCTTCTTTATGCAGTGCAGTCGCCCTGTTCAATGTGCAGAAAAACAGCCCCAAAGCATGATGCTACCACCCCCATGCTTCACAGTAGGGATGGTGTTCTTGGGATGGTTCTCATCATTCTTCTTCCTCCAAACACAGTTAGTGGAATTATGAACAAAACATTTTATTTTGGTCTCATCTGATCACACGACTTTCTCCCATGACTCCTCTGGATCATCCAGATGGTCATTGGCAAACCGAAGACGGGCCTTGACATGTGCTGGTATAGGAGGGGGTACCAGTTTCATGCCAAAAATGTCCGACAAATTAGCAAAAACTGTGGACCAATAGTTGGAGAGCTGAGGACAGAGCTAGATAGTGTGGATCAAATTGACTGGAGAATGTTGGCACCTATCACAGGCAGGAGAAACGCTGCTTTAGTATAATAAGTGTGATACACAAGTTTTCTTTGAATCAGATAATTTCTGGCACAAATAGAAGACTTGTACACCAGTGACAAGATTAGCGTCCAAAGATCCTCTGAGGTGGCCTGTCCGAGATCTTCCTCCCAAAGTGATCTAAGGGAATTCAGGGTTTGTGGGCGTAAAAGCATAATTTGATTGTATATATATAAAAAAATGGCCCCCTTCAGTTTGACAGTAGGTTTTAGAAAAATGTCTAAAGGTGAATCCGTGGGAAGGCTGGGAAAATTTGTATAAGCACAGCGGACAAAACTGCGCACTTGCAAATATCTAAAAAAAATTGACATTGCTGGATATAAAACTTTTTAGAGATTTGTTGGAATGAGGCAAAAGTATTATCAATATACATATCGTAAAAGGTTGAAATTCCTTTTCTCCACCATGACAGGAAAATATTATCTGTGAGAGACGGCGGGAAGGTATGGTTCAGAGCTATAGGGGCATAGACAGAAAGAGATTGCAGACCTGCCGCCTAAATTGCATCCACAGCCTTAAAGCTGAAGTCTGTAAGTTTTTAAAAATCACTTTTTTGTCATATTGGCTAAAACTGTCCCTATGCCCAGAGAGCAGTACATGTGATATGTAACCTGTGAAAAAAACTGCTTCAATTGGTATCGCCTACTGCCTGTATTTCAATCTGGAAAGAATAATTCGGGACGAGTCAAAACAACCAATCACAGCCAGAGGAGCGTCTGATGGAGTGTCAATCACAGCTCACAGGGTGGGGGAGTGGCGTGAAACCTGTTTTTCTTCAAATTTTCAGTTGAAGTCTGCTCTCTCCTCAATGTTACAGACTGCAGCTTTAAGGATGCATGGACTATTTTATTAGAAGTATACGGTTTAGTTGGGTACTGTAGAGGAATAGCTATCTGACTGGAGCCAGAATCTAAAAAGTCTAATATTTGAAGCCCAATAGTAATATCTAAAGTTTGGTAAGGCCATCCCCTCCAAGATTTTTAGGCTTTTGTAAGAGTTGAGTGCGTATACAGAGAGCTTTCACATTCCAGAGAAATTTGGTAAATATACTATTGAGTTTACTATTGAGTCGGACATCTTCTTCGGGTGCCCCCTGGACGCCTCACTCGGGAGGTGTTCCAGGCACGTCCCACCGGGAGGAGGCCCAGGGGACCCAGGGGACCCAACAGAGCTGGAAGAGGTGTCTGCGGAGAGGGAAGTCTGGGAATCTACTTAGTCTGCTGCCCCCGCGACCCGGTCCCGGATAAAGCGGGAGACGACGAGTATGAGTACGAGTACTATTGAGTTTGCTAAAAAAGGTCCATGAAAGAAAAAATGAGATGCACTGAAATAGGTAAGAGAAACGTGGAAGAATGTTCATTTTGATTGAATTGACCACACCACCAATTTTTAAACATTTCCATCACTGCTTTTTCAGTACTGGTGGGGGGGTTTTCAGCCCTGCTCAGGAGTAGAACAATCAGAGGTGAATATGGGTGAAAAAAGCCAGTACCAGTTCTGGAAAGGGGGAGATTAAAATGATAGTATTCTTACTCACACCTACTCCTCCGGTTTAATTTTTGTCATGATTCTTGGTAGAACAGTGCTGGTTTGATTCAGAATTCAACACACCTGTCAGCTTCGCATCGTTTCCAATCAGCCACCATCAGATCCACCTGCTCACCTTATTATACACTGATCTAAAGTCTTTTTTTCTAAAAATCAGTGATCAGGAAAAAAAATAATGATTGCTGTTAGGTTTATTCAATGATGATTATAAAGTTAATGTGTGCATATAAAACATTGAAGAAATAAGATGCTACATTCTGTCCTGTGATTCAGTCAGGAGGGGTAATTTTTTTATTTCAGGGTCATTTCACTTTATGACCTGCCTCCAGCCAGTTGGTCATAAAGCAGGGTCACGCTGTTTTATGACCTGCATCCAGCTAGATAATCATTACAGGGTCTTCTGTCCTAAGACCCACCCATTTGCTTGTGATCTGTTAATAAAAGAATCTGCTGTTCTGGTGGGGGGCAGAACGGTGCTGAAATGTGAGCAGGCAGCCTTTCTCCTCCTGCAGGAAGCTGTGTTTGAAAATCCAGGTTCATTTTTTTTTTTAACTCACAATTTTTTGAAGCTAACAATTGCATTGTCTTATTTCAGGTGATTATCATCTCATCTTATTTTAAAAGTAAAAATACTAATTCTATTAGTAAATCATCTTATGTATCTATCTACTCAAAATAAGGGTAAATATACCTAATATTTTATTATTTCTAGATTGTTTTTGCAGTTTGTCAGATTATTAAAGGCCATCTGTGAGTTTAGTCCAGCGTTCCTCTTACCTGTCTGCCTGTTTCTGGCCCGATTCTGCCTCCTGATTCTCTGAGCCTGCCTGAATCCTATTGGACCTGTCAATGTGTGTTTTTGGATCTCCCACCTGTTTTCTGTGCCCTGACCTCGGTCTCAGTTTCTCCCCTGGATTGGCTCTGGATCTTGGATCAACTGGCTCGGACTCTCGTGTTCCAAACTCTTGTTTGTCCGCTTAATCATTCTGCTTGTCTTCTGTTTTCGCAGATCTCACTTTTTGCATTTCCTTGGTCCAACGAGTAACTGTCAAAGAAGGAAACCTGCAAACCACCCTGGACGGATTCAGGAATCCTCCTTCTGGTTGCTGACTGGTGAATCCCTCCGGTCCTGGGACAGTTTCATTTTCAATTAACTGTTCAAACTTCAGCTGTTGCCTCTGGTTGAATTGTGGGTCTTTCTGTTACTGGTCAACCATTCCAATAGATCAACCACTTCCAATAGATAAAACATTATTTTTTAGGGTTTCTTTTAACATAAAACCTTAAAGATAGAAATAAAATGACGACAAACTGATAAGAGCAGAAACTCTTCCTGAGATGTTTTTTACTGTGAGATGCATTTCCTTGTTAATCTGTAAGAAACATTTAACCCTGAGAGAAATGTTTGCAAAGTTGGACCTGAACCACCAAAGCACCTCCAGTAATAATAAACCTGTAATAATTGATTTAAACTATTTTCACAGAAAATACGCATCTGCAATCTGATAAAGACACAGTGCATAAATCAAAACCATTACTGATCCGAATTAATGCTGTAAATAAAGAGTCCATTAACAACATTTGTGTCTAGTTTGCTTAATATCAGTATATTCTTATTTTTATTTGCACAGAATGCAACACATATGTGTTTCAGATACAAGATTCATATATAACACAAAGCAGCTGTGACAATACGACCAAAGAGCACGAAAAAAAGGCTTATTACTGTTGGATCAACAGCATCTCAGAGCTGAAGGGATCTCCACCTTTCTGCTCAGCTTTCCTTTAGCAGTTTGTCTCTTTCTCTTGTCCAGATTTTCCTTTAATCTCTTCCTCATCCCTTCCTCTCTGCACTCCTCTCCTACAGTTTATCCTCATTTGGATGCTTCTTCTTGTACTTTTCCTTCATCCCCCTCCTCATCTTCCATCAGTCTGACCTCTTCTTGTCATCTTAGTTTATCTTTACATTGCTGGTTCCAGTTGATCTGTCCTGTGTTTGGTATCTAATTCAACAAAACATAGGTAAATGTGTAAATTATCTCTTTGTTTTGCCATGACCCTTGCTTCCGAATGGCCTTTTTCTACATTAAACCTCTGCAACCTTCTGCAGGCATTGACAACATGAGGCAGTAGCTCCTGTTTACAGATAACATTGCTTTCACAGATCATTTTAAACAAGCTGAATTATCAAACCCAAAGTATATTCTTCCCTGGAGAACTGGTGATCTAGCAGGTAACAGAAGTCACAATGTTTGCAGCACAATAACTCGAGCCTAATCCATTTTTTTCAAACCTCATGGTTTTCCACCTGAACTTTGAAAACTGAATGAGATCTGCAGTGATCAAAATTATCTTGAAAATGTGAAAATGGGTTATTTTTCTCATTAGGGCTCAGAAACACTTAACGCTAAAATCAATGAACATTAAGAACATGTAAACTTTGTGAACATTTCTTCTATCCAGAGTAAGGGAGCTTGAGGAGTGCAGCCTGTCCTGGACCGAGCCGCAGACTCATCAGGTCCACAGAGCTGCCTACAGGAAGGGTGCTAACGTTGGTGCTGAGGGCAACAGTAGCGTGGAGAGGCAGGGCTGCATGCTTCATCCTCAATGCTGCCTCCTCCTCCGTCCCCCAGTTAAAGGCAGCCAGGTAACGATCGTTCTGATCCCAGACTCGCAGGTATACCAAAGAGGAGGAGGAATTAGAGAGGAGGGAAAAATCTCCATAAAGGAGGGAGCGCGCTTTAACCCGAAGCTCGCTCACAGAGCAGAAAAAGTTGCGAAGCGACAGCCTCTCTTTCTGATCCTCCTGGAAAAAGACAGAGAATATTCATGGGTTAAATATACATGCACACTTGTTTTTATACTTGAATGCTTTGAAATAATGGAGCACCCTTCCTCTGCAGTTGTAGAGCCAAAGCCATGCCATCAGTTATGAACATTGGTGGAACAGGATGCAGGTTTACCTTGCTCTACAAACCAAGACCTATCTGCAAAAGTATTTTAAAGTAGGAGCTTCAAAGCACACATTTGTCTGCCTGTCCTCTTTTTCTCTTAGTTCCAGTGATGAACGTATTTCCTTGTCTGTCCCTGCAGGCAAATGGGCCATGTTCTTAAACTCTGTTTGAAGTTAAGTTGGCCTGCAGCTTAATTTCAATCAATCAATCAAACAATCAATCAATTAATCAATCAATCAGTCTTTATTGTCAACTACAATTTGCATTGTAATCAACATTTCAGTTTTGGTACAAACCATTCATCACATACATTTTAAATTTTCAATTAAGTTTATTTCTATAGCACCAATTCCCATCATGTCATCTCAAGGCACTTTCCAGTTCACCAGATCATCCAGTCAGATTGATTCAAAGTTTTTTATCTAAGGAAAACCAGCTGATTGCAGCATGCTTAGTGTGAGGGATTGCTGAAGAGTCAATGACTGGATGCAATCAGCTGGTTTTTACTTAGAACACTTTGAATCAATCTGACGATGATGAGGTTGAAGTGTTTCTGTAAAGTGAATGAATTGGCGCTATAGAAATAAACCAAATTGAATTTAATTGTACTGAAAGCAAACCAAGAGAAGCTAACAATGCGTGCAGCTTAGCGGTAGCAGAGGCTAACCATTGGAGTTGTTTTTATAAGGTTATGACAATGTAATTTCAATAAGAGTTTAAACATTAATGTTATGTTTTTTTTTTGATCAACTTAATACATTAGATTGCTAAACTATGACAGAATTTTTTTTTAAATTAGCCCCTTGTGTCTGCTAGCTGTTAGCGCTTTCTTAATAAACAAAACGTTCAGAAGCTAAACAAAGCTAAACCCTCTGCTATAAGGATTCCTGACCTTCGTTTCTCCCATATGAAGACATATGTTTAAGAATCAATTCTCTAAACAGTTATCGATTTCTGATTAGACAAATCATTTAATAAAATGTTATTTCATCCAATAATATTATTATTACCGTACCTCCCTGGATTTGCACCGTGAACTGGTTTCAACACATTCCAATTGATTTAAATTATAAAAGCTAATTTTGACCTCATTTCAAACTCTTCAGGGTAAACTTTGGTTCTCACACATAAAAACCATGTGAACTGTGATATCTTTGTATCATTTTATTATTTATGATTTCTAGCCATTCTCATTAAGTGCCCTATATGTGCATAGAAGCTAACTAGATTTAGTTTAGTTTTACTGGTGTAGTCAAGAGTGTTTAACTGAAATGTAGTTGAATTATTATTGTTAATAAATTCCTATATTAAACTTTTAATTCAGCAGAGGTTTGATGTGTGAGCAGCACAGCTGTCCTCCAGATGTTTACCTGCAGAGTCCCATTCAGCTCCTCTTCAAAGTCCCAAAGCATCTTGGGAAACTTGGAGTCCTAATGCAAATAAGAACCAAAACAAGTAACATTTTTATTTATTTTTTTCTGAAAACTTATCAGCCAGAGACTCTTCTTTCATGCATTTATTGCTGTCAAAAAAACTGAATCAGGTAGAGCTTGTCTCACCCCGTCCATCAGGCCAACCTCATCTCCATAGTTGAAGACCGGTGTCCCTGGCAGGGTCATCAGCAGCAGCTGGTAGAGTCTGACATGAGCCTGGGTCACTAAGGAGGCCAGGTGACCCTCAACTCGACCCCCCAGGTTCCAGGTCAGCCTTTCCTGACTGACGTTAGAGTACAGGGTTTGGATCGTGTCAGCGTAACGGGAAGGCTCAGGGTCACCTGATGTCAGCACGTTGGATATCAGAAGGTCCACTCCAGTGGAGGAAAGAAGGGCGGACACGTATTCAGCCGAGGAGCTTTCTGTGACGCCGAGCAGGAGTCTGAAAAACACCATCAAAAGCTCACTCAGGCTACGTCCTCACTGCAGGCCCTGATGCTCAGTTCTGTTTTTTTCTTTATCCGATTCTTTTGTGTTGTCGTTCACATTTCCAAATAAATGCGACTTGTATGGGATCTCCTGTTTGAACTGCATTCACACAACTAAAGTGTCCCGCATGCATAAGCTGGTGAAGATTCTCAGTCATCCAGGTCATAGTCATGCCAAAAAAAAGCTAAAAAAACAAACAAACAATCCACTGGAATTTATTTCCAAGTTTGAAGACGTTTCTTTTCCCATCCAGGAAGCTTTTTCAATTCAAAATGTCAGAAATAGCGTTGAGTTCCAGGCTTTATTCAGTAGCCCAACAAAGCCTTGTTTTTGTTTGGAAAACATGCAACTAGAAACTGACAAACGGGTCAAACCCCTTTGGAATGGGGGTTGTTTGGCTTCTTTGTTAGCCTGCAATGCCCCATACCTGTCTATGTCTCTGAAAGGGGGTCATTAGAGGGAATTTAGGAAGGAAAGCCAGGCCAACATTTCCCTTTAACAACCCCCATTTCAGAGACAATGCCAATATCAGGTATTACAGGCTGAGAAAGATACCAAACGACCCCCATTCTAACGGGGTGGACGTGTTCAGGTTCAATTTGCATGTTTTCTAAACAAAAACAAAGCTTTGTTCCTGTTGCCTTCCTCGGAGAGGATGGACTGAACTGTTAAACCAAGTAAGTGACTCACAAAGATAATCATCTTCCATAAGATGATCAGGGTCACTTCCCTGTGTTTCTCCCACATCCAGAGTGCCAGTGATAAGTTTCGTCCCGCCCCCCTGCAGCCGCTGTGATCCACAGCTCCTCGCTTCTGTTTCGTTTATGTTTTGTGCTTAGTAAACATTTTTTACTTTTCCTACTGACAGTGTCGCCTTGAATACTGGGTCCATCTGTCCCGTTTTATGACAGTAAAACCAGAGCAAATATAAAAAAAAAATGACATTATATGATCTGGAAAGCCAATGAAAACAGTCTGAACCACAGATGTAAAGTGAGAGCAGGAAACATTATGATTATAAAGGTTTCTGGGGGGAAAAAGTCTCAGAATCAGAGATCACAGCTTAAAGAAGAATCTTGCACCTTTTTGACCCACGTTTGGGATCCATATCTGTGCTGTTTTGGACGATGGCCCGGATGTCGGCCCAGAGAGACGGAACCACGTTGGCCAGCTGCTCCACTCCGGAGAGCTGGACTCCATCCACGCCTTCATTCAGCCAGAACACCAGGGCCGACTGAAAGCACATGGACACATTTCCTCACATTTCAATACTTTGAGTTTTCATTTTCAGGATGCTGTAATGAGATAAAATCAGGAAGTGACATCAGGTGACTTCAACATGAAAGTCGAAATGATGCATCGTTGTGAGGTGGTTTTTTAAGTCCCTTCTCCAAAAACAAATCTGAAGAGTGTGGCTTGCATTTATATTTAGCTCCCCTGACTCTATACTTTTCAGAATGACTTTTGGCTGCAGGTCTTTGGGTTGAATCTCCAGCAGTTTTTGTTCCACAGACACATACTGTGGCCCAGTCAGCAATGAAGCTCCTCTCTGAACATCAGCTTCTATTTCTTGCTACCAGTGATGGGAGTAACACTTATTTTAAAATAACAAAAATGTGACTTTTTCAATAAATAAAGTAATCAAATTACTTTTCATATATTTGCACACTGTCTGCAATGAAGGGAGATTTTACTGCAGCTGGGACAGAGGCATATGTGGAGCTATGATGGATGGGTGCTCATCATGCCTTCAACACAGTCTGAGATGAGAGTCGATGATTCAGAGACAGCGTTCCTAAAGAAAAAACGCCCATTGAAGTCACCAAAGGCTTCAAGCTAAAATGATTCTCTCCTGGACTTTATCCATGCTGGTTAGAAGTGACTCGATTCTGATGCTATGTTCACACCGAACGCAATTTCAGCATAAAAAAAACCCTGCTGCTTCATTACTGATGCTTCTGCTGCTCCTGTGTTCAATGCCAGAGAGGGTAAAAAGTAGTTTGAATATGTTTTCAACCAAATTAACTTAATTCACCAGATCGTGTCTTACTATTATCATTAATTATATATCAAATGTGAAAAACATAAACGGAAAATACAAAAAAAAAGCTTTGCTTTATACTGTTTTTGGTAAGGGTGCTGCCATGTTGCAGTACCTCAAATGATGATGTCACGGGGTTGATTAATGCAAAAGAATGGAATACACTGGATAGACCGGAGATAGATCACAACCATAAAACATTTAAAATATTTGGTTTGATGAAAGACGAAGGGCACTAAAGCGTCTAAATCACATTGCTTCTGAAGCCCATCGAGCTGTAAGAAGGAGAGAAGAGGCAGTTTGGTAGCCGGGGTTCTGCCAGTCCAGCATACCCATAGTAAATACGCATGCGCAAGACATCAGATTAGCGAAAGAGAGACTTTAAAGTACCTCAACAGGCGTATATCACTTCAGTCATATACAAAAAAAACAACAACAATTTAAGGTGAGATCGCTATACGCTTCAAAAAACACCAAAAAGTAAGTAATGAAAAAGTTTTTTGTATATGACTAGAGGGATACACGCCTGTTGAGGTAGTTTAAAGTTTAGTTTTCATACAAAACTAAAGGGATGAATTAAAGGCTTAAACAGGTTTTGTCAGGACTCCTGTTTTTTGTGTTTGTGTTTCTGTGTTTGTCTCCCTTCATCCACCAGGAGGCGTCTGGTTCTGATCCGCCTCCTCACACACCTGCTGATGGTTTCCTCGTTAACGGAGCGTTCTTAAGCTGCTGACTGCCACTACGTCGATGCCAGAGTGTTTGCCAGTTTAGGGTACTCTAGCCAAGCTGAGTTTTGCCGAGTCAAGCTGAGCTTTTTGTCAACCTGAGTTTAACTTTGTTTTTTGTCTTTGCCTCTCGGCAGGAAGTCATCCTGCAAACTGGATTTCTCGGACCTTCTCTCCCTGGAAGGATCAACTGAGCTTCAAACCAAGCTGAGGTTTAAACAGGAGGTTTGGATCCACTTTCCCCAAGAGATCGTTTGAGCTTCTCACTGAGAAAGGGATAATTCTCCACTACAGCCCGTTCAAGTACCGCAGGAAATCTGAGTGGCAGTCAGTTTCTCAGTTCACCAACTATCAACCTTATTCTGGGTAAACTCTGTTCCGCCCTCCACCGAATCAGACAAACGGGAGTTAAGGATTCAACAACTTCTCTGGAAACGTGAGTCGGCAACCAAATCCTCTTCTCCAAGTTCACGAGTCAAATTCCCCACTGAGCCTGAACTAAACGCTGTGTCTTCCCCTCACTTTACAGTTCCGGTTGAGCTTCTCCCACTGATTAATTTTTTCAATAAAACCCCTTAAAACTTTTTCCCTGGTCTCTCCGTTCGGCTTTCCGCATTTGGGTCTGAACTTTGTAACATCATGACAGGTTTGACTATGGGTATGCTGGTCTGACGAGGTATGCTCATCTGACAGAACACCAGGGTTCTGACTATCCCTGCTACCCCACAGAACACCACTGTGGAGATTAGGTAAAGTAAAAGACTTTTGAATCCTCTAGCGGTCCATCGGACAGTCAGCTACAGCCTGAAGCTGCTCCGAGTGTTTTTAATTTCACCGCCTATAAGCTGGGCTCTACTGACCGGCCATGACAGGGGGTCATCTGCAACAATGACGGGTACTAAAACACACTATGCAGGCAGAGCAGAGACACTAACAGTTATGTTGGTAGGTATTTAGTCATCAACTATGCCCCTAACTCCAAAAAATATGTCCATCAGAGCTTAGTTTCCAACTTCATCCCTATTCCAGGCTCTCAATAACACACATTGTTTAACTAAAAAAGCAGCCATCAGGAATAATATATAATATATTACTGCAGCAAAGGGTGCCTTAGCCACCGTTTCCAGACAACCAATCAAAGGAGGCTCTTAACAGTCTCCATCCTTGAGGTAAAGGAAATCAGTGTTTCTGTTCTTTTCTGGGACTTTGTTCCACATTAAATGTACATAAAAAAACTGAAAGCTGCTTTTTCATGTTGGGTTCTGGGGATACAAAGTAAACAGGATCCAGAAGACCTGAATGTTCTGGAAGGAGGATCTCTAATGAATTGTGATGCTAAACTGTCGAGCAATTTATAAACTACAAGTTTTTTCAAGTCTATTCTCAGAGCTACATGTAGCCAGAATAAGGATTTTAAAACTGTGCTGTATTCATCAACATTTTCATAATATCATCATAAAATGGAACTACATTGTAACTGTGTCTAGTAACCACTCACTCTGATTGTGAAGTTACCAAGTTACTCTCAGTTACTTTTTTGCAGAAGTAACTGGTAACTATAATGGAATCTAGTAAGTATAAAGGATCTAAAATGAGTAATACATTTTAAAATAAGTGTATTTTTCCTTCATTTGAGCAGGTAAATAAGATGATCTGCTAATGGATGCAGCATGTTTACCTTTTAAAATAACATCATTAGATGTTATGCTTTTTATTTTAAATGTAAATTGTGTTATTCCACATACAAAGTGTTTAACTACCTGCTCAGTTCAAGAAAACAAAATTCCACTATTTTAATAAAAATTAACCTCCTTAGATTTCATTTTTTTCCTTTACCTTTTTGTTTTCAGGTCTGGACTGATTTCAGGCTGTTTCTTCTAGGATTGTTATTTTTAGCTCCGTTCTTCCTGCAGAGCATGACACTGCCACCACCATGCTTCAGTGTGAAGGCAGTGTTTTCAGGTGGATGTTCTGAACACTTTATCCCACTATGAGCATTTCACTCTCATCAGGTGGTTTTCAGCATGCAAGGTTCTTATGCTCCTCTCTTACATCAAACAGCTTCTTCTAGTCACACCTCCATGAAATACTTTTAAAGTCCTGATCCAAACAGATTGCGAAGGCAATTATCTGCACAGGACTTTATCTGAGAGGTATCAGAGTTTAATTCAAATGCTGCCACACTCATGTTAGATTTTAGATTACCCGGTACATCTGAGCTAATTTTTATCTCATTGTTTTATTTAGATGGAGCTCATACCGGTTTCCAACTCGTCCTAGAGTCAGTGATTACCTTCAGCCTCTCTGCTACATTAGTCACGCTGTTACTGGAGAACCAGGGTCCAGATGATCCCCGGTAGTTTGGAGTCAGATCCAAAACCACAGAAATGCCTGCAGAAGAGAGAAACCAGACATACATGTCAGGTTTGAAAAGGTGCATTAATTACTTCTTTCCCACAGTCTGACATTATATCAGGCTAAAATCTTACTGTTATGTAACAGATAAGATTATTAAAACTTTTTCAATTGGCTCAATACAAAATAATGAGAGATGGATAGATATAGAGATCTTTGTTTCTATCCATCTTATGTCTTGGGTCAAACATTTGGTGTTTTCTTTCTTCAGAAACCTTCTCAGCTTTGCAAACAGTTGCAGAGTTCTAATCCAGCAGCTATCTCCTCTGAAGGCCAGATTTGTCTCCAGATTACGTCATAATCCTTGATTACGTCAAGGCCTGTTCGGATTGGAGGACTCCTCATTATGCAGCGGACATATGCAGCTTTTTTTTTTGGAGGACAGTTCCGGTTTATCTGCCGTAGCCTTGGGTATCCCATGATTCATTGCGAGTCCAAGCAAGCTGGCTGCTCCATGCTCAGAGGAAAAAGTGAAATGGTGCCTAACACTGGTGAATATTGGAAGTGCAGTTTAATATAATCCAGTCTGTGACGAGTTCCATCTGAAATGAATGAAAACATTTTTTTAATGGTTATTGAGTCAGCTATGTGATTGGTTTTGTTTGGTTTATTGAAAGGTTTTATCTGTCCCTGTGCAAATGGGTATGACTGATATTTAAGCTCAGATTCCAACATCTCTGCAGGGTGGGGACTATAAATCAGATATCTGAGACAGTACTGCTGCTGAAGCTCCTCAGAAATGTTATTAGCAACCAGAACAGTAGTGAGAAGTTCAGCATCCATTCTCTAATTAACTTGAGCAACAATCTTCTCCTTTACCATCTTCCTCTCCTTTGCAGCTTTAGCGCTGTTTCTCTGTCTTTTAAACACATTCTCCTTTTTTATTTTTTTATTTCTAAATTAAAATCTCTAGTTCCAGTGCGGTGAAATAGGCACTTTTTGTTACCTGTTGTGCTCCACTGATAATGGCTTTTCATACTTGTTTCGTACATTTTAAACTCTGAGTGGTTCTACTTGGAGTTGATTGAAATAATTCATAGCAGCCATTGTAAAACTGAAAATTCAATCAATCTAAAGTTTGCAGATTTGAATCTGAGTTTGTTAAACCGGGTTTGGCAAATGGACCCCAGGGCTTTGTGAGGCCGCTCCAAAACCCTGACCTTCAATGGAAAAACAACCATCAGACCACAGGACATGTCTTTAAAGATGTCTTTCCACGAAAGTAGTTACAGAAAACACTAATCTAGCTTTTTATTCTCCTTTAGGAGGAATATTTTCTTCCTCTTAGACGGGCCTCTTTCCCATGACGTTAAAGGACTAGTGTCACCTTGGATAGAGAGCTTTGCCAGCATCTGCAGAGTCCTTAACTTTACACACCAAAAAATAGACGCCATGAAATAAGCAAGATAATTGTAATTAACATTAGTTATTTTTATTTTTTTTTAAATTGATGATTGGTTTAACAGACGTTGCTCAACTAGAAATTTTAAAACTCATTCAACATATTTCTTAAACTGAAAAGTTGTTTAAGTAGTTTCTGCCATGATCTTGGCACTGATGACTGGCCTGATTACTTGTCTCATTCACCAGCCTACAGTAGCTGTGCCCAGTTTCTTGTTATCCTTCATCTGTTCCACCTGCTCCAGCCCCTAATTAACCTGCCTTCTACCAGTCATTGGTGCCGGATTATTTGAGCCCTTGGTGAGGGTCTTCTAGTTTATCAAAGTGTTTTCTGATTGCCTGATCTTTACCAGTTCTGCCTTTGGACCTCTGAGCCTCACTGTCCCTGTTCTGATCTGTCTGTCTGCCCTGTCTTTGGACTCTCACTGGATTCTGCTGTTTACCGAACCTGGAACTAATTCCTATCATTGTCTTGGATTCCCCTTCGGTACCTCTTCAGACTTCTGATCTTCTGGCTCAGAGACCTAAGAACTTCCTTGACACTGGCTTTGGCTTTGCCTTCTGGATTATCCTGCCTTCCTTCATTTGTTCGGGTTCTGATCTCCGGCCTGTTCTCCGGTCTTTGGGACTTTGTCTGGGCAGTGTCTGCCATTGTGGCGAACATTGGAAACGCACTTTAATCAGCAAGGATCTGTCTGTGAGTGTGCGAGTATCAAAATGTAGAGCTAAAGTCTCAAAAATATTCTCGCTCCCTGAGTGACGCACAAATGCAGAATTCAATTCTGATTAAAAAAAACTAATTATTTGAGCACAAAATCTGATTTTATTCTGTAAATAATTTATAAAGACTAGATTTGAAAATAAGCATTTGTGTGCAAATTTTTTTAAGAATCTTACATTTTGAAAAAGTCAGGTATTTTGAATATAAATGTAAATGTAATGCAAATCCCTTTTTTGTCGCACAATGTAGAAATTCATTCTGCATTCAAACGATCCCCTTGGGGAGCAGTGGGCTGCCATCGTGCGGTCCAGGAAGCAGTGTGGGGTTAAGGGTCTTGCTCAGCGATCCAAAGTGGAGGCTGTGGGGAGCGAATCAGGTACTTGCAATCTTCTCAGAGCACAGAGCACTGCTCTAAGAACTAGGTCACCACTCCCTGAATATATTTATATATATATATATTTATTTCTGCATCAATAAATCTCAATGAAATTACTACAAAAATTCAGAAACTGCATAAATGTAAAGTATTTTGAAATTGTCTTAATTTTTAAATCAGTGAATCTCACTGAAATCATTACATGAAATTAAGACATTGTGAAAAAGTAAAGTTTTTTTAATAAATCCTTATTTCTTAAAGCTACAGTGTGTAACCTTTAGCGACATCTAGCGGTCAGACTGCAGCAACATGAACATCTCCCCGCCACCGCTTCTCCCCCCAACAGTACGGCGAGCGTTACGGGACAAAATGTCTTCCACGACGTCCGCATCACCTACCTTCTCAAGTGATGAGGTTTGTTTACATAGATAATTTTACAGATAGTATTTCATTAGTCTGTGTAGGGTATAGATTTCATGTAGACTTAAGATAATAAATATACCCGTTATTTTTTCTACATCGTTGTGACGTTTTGGCGATCTCGCAATCGCTAGTTTGTTGGCTCTGCGCTGCCGTAGCGCAAAGATGTCTGCCTCCATGGCTGCGAGACCCGCTCCTATGTAATTATAAATAACGAATTCTAAGGCAACGCAAATATTAAGGTTAAGAGGCTGAGCTCGTAGATGATGATAAATAACATAGTTATGTATAATATATTACATTTCTGACTGTGTAGCCCTGTAATTATTACACACTGTAGCTTTAATTAATAAATTTTATTTGATACCAATTTAGCCCCATATATATAATCTATGAATCAATGATAAACAGACCAAACCAAAAAAACAAACAAAAACAAACTGAAACTTGAATGTTTTTATCATTTAAAGGGGGTTCAGTAGAAAGGCTAATTAAGATTTGGCAGCGTTTTCTCACCTTTGCTGTGGGCAGCCTGTAGGACACCTCTAAACTGATCCAGGTTTCCAGCATCATCTGAAATCTCCTCAAACCTCAGACTCATGGCTTCGTCTGGAGGAGCGACATGAATCGGTCCAACCACCAAACCTTTCACCTTCAGCTGGGACAAACTGTCCATCTTCTGCTCCAGACCTTCCAGGATGGAAAAGCAACCATAAGTTCATCTGTTGGTGTATTTTATAAACATAGCCGCTGATTTTGAGCGATTCTGTCCTGAGGTGGGACCAATTAATCCCAGAGTTATCAGTTTCCCTCAAATCATTAAATCATTCTGCTTAAAGATGTAAAAAGGTCAGAATGAGCTATGGATGGATGGATGGATGGATGGATGGATGGATGGATGGTTGGATGGATGGATGGATGGATGGATGGATGGATGGATGGATGGATGGATGGATGGATGGATGGATGGATGGATGGATGGATGGATGGATGGAATATCTCATTCTGAGCTATGGATGGATGGATGGATGGATGGATGGATGGATGGATGGATGGATGGATGGATGGATGGATGGAATATCTCATTCTGAGCTATGGATGGATGGATGATGGATGGTGGATGGATGGATGGATGGATGGATGGATGGATGGAATATCTCATTCTGAGCTATGGATGGATGGATGGATGGATGGATGGATGGATGGATGGATGGATGGATGGATGGATGGATGGATGGATGGAATATCTCATTCTGAGCTATGGATGGATGGATGGTGGATGGATGGATGGATAAATGGATGGATGGATGGATGGATGGATAAATGGATGGATGGATGGATGGATGGATGGATGGATGGATGGATGGATGGATGGATGGATGGATGGATGGATGGATGGATGGATGATGGGTGGTTGGATGATGGATGGTGGATGGATGGATGGATGGATGTGTGGTTGGATGATGGATGGATGGATGGATGGAGGAAATAATGAATGAATGAATGAATGAATGAATGAATGAATGAATGAATGAATAATGGATGGATGGATGGATGGATGGATGGATGGATGGATGGATGGATGGATGGATGGATGGATGGATGGATGGATGGATGGATGGATGGATGGATGGATGGATGTTTTTACCTTTCAGGTTTTTGGTGTCAGTGAAGGCCTGGATGTTTCCGATCTGGTACAGGGGGCCTTCGTTCCACCAGCTGGTGTTGGGCAGATCTCTGCATCCAGGAGTCTGCAGGAGAATGAGGACCGCCCCCACCAGCATCCCCAACCAGCCGAGCCAGAACACCATCAGGAGCGTCCAGCGGGTCCGCACCCAGCTGAGGATAAAAAGACATATTCACAGAAGCTCCAAGGAAACTCTTCTGATTGAAAATCTGATTGAGTCCACAGAAGTCAGACGCTAACAGCTCATATCATAACCTGTAGAACCAGGCGTGTTTCTAACACGCCTGGTTCTACAGGAACATCATTGTGGTCGATCATTCCTCTTTGGCCACGTTAGAGTCAGCTTTGCTAAGATCTTCATTTGGCTTTTTCTTTCCTTTTCAACAGTGTAAAATTTAACAGCTTCACTCCTTGGCCTGGAACTTATGATTTATATAACTGGCAGAAATAGAGGGCCCCAAAAATCAAATGTTGTTTACAGGGGAGGATTTACCATTAGGCAATACTAGGCTGCTGCCTTGGGCCCCAAGTTCCTGAGGGCCCCATAAAACTCTTTTCAGACCCCTCTAGCACTATGATTTCAAAAAAGCGCCTAGTGCCAAATCTAGTGACTTTTTCCTGCTACTGGAGACTTTGGAGACAACATCTAAAAGCAGCGAACTCTGCTCTCCAGAGCAAGTAGATTGGTAACCCCGCCTCCTGCTCTCCTCTATCTTGTCTGCTGTCATGATTCATGCAGCTATTATTTCATCCAAATGAAAAATGGAAAACAGATAAGCAGATCATGGCTTGTCTACAGTGAAAAGAAGGACTGGGTTATTTACTTTTGCCGTTTTGGAAACACAGGAAGGAGCAATCAGCTAAGTGAGCTTAGTGCTTGGAAAAAATCTTTCATTCCTTTTGAGACAGCATGAAAAGTCAGCTGAGTACAAAACATAGAGAGGAAAACAAGAAGAAAAGGGACAAGAAGAGAGGGACAAAACCTAGAACAAATAATGGATGTCTATTCTATTAACATTTCTCTATCTGTAGAATGGGTTTGTTTTATGTGTTGTCTTCTCAGTTCAGAGGGCCCCCTGCCTGTCTTTGCCTAAGGCCCCACATTTCCTATATCAGCCCCTGATTGTTTAGAGCCCCATGGATACTTGTGCCGGCCCTGTTTCTTAGTAGCATTTTCCTGGATTTAAAGTCATTTTGGAGCAAATTAGTGATTAAGGAAGCAGACAACCATCCCTCTGATGACTGTCTGCTAAATAAAATGCCTCATTATTGGCCTCCGGGCCTCATCTGACTGCATCAGCCATCCTGATGACTGTAGTCAGATGAGGTTAGCAGGTCATTTGGGGAAAAAAATACCAGAAGATGTTTAGATCCAGAGCTATGCTAATGAAGGTCTTTGCAGGGCGTTTATCTTACCTTCAATCTCTGCACACATTCCTAAACTCAGCACCATACCACCAGACAGGGTGACCTAAATAACATGTTTGGAAAGATATAGTTCAATGCTGTTGATCTATTTAGAATAATAACTAAAGTAGAAGCTTTTCTAGAGATATTAATCTTTCTTGTTTAAACTGAATTTTAAGTTTAATCACTTCTGCTCGTATTTTTCCTGCTTAATTTAGCTTTTAGAAACCAAGCCTGTGTTCAGTTCTCCTGGATGGGCCCCTGCATGGAGTGTCTGTACAGCGTGTCCTCACCCAGGAGTCCCCGCTACCCGCAGCAGCTCCTCCTTGTTCAGCCCGGTGAACGTCTCCTCCGCATCATCCAGGATCTTCAGCTTCACGGAGCCATTTTTCTCCGCCCCCACCTCCTCCCCGCCTTCAGGTGGAGCCTCCACGGGCCCCTCTCTGCCAGCTGTCATCGGCTGCTTCTCCTGCTCCTCCTGGTCCAGGTCGGCCTCGCTTACATCAGCCTCCGTGGCATCAGCATCCGCAGCGGCCGGAGCTGCATCCAGGCCGCTGATGCTCTGAGCATCCTTCATCTCCTCCGCGTTCATCCTGCCTGCAGCGAGTCTGTGAATGACGATGACCGATGAATTCAGAGCAAAGTGTCCGTCTGCCGGTGATTCTGCGTCTGCCGGTGATTCAGCGTCTGCCGGTGATTCTGCGTCTGCCCGCCGGTTCCTGTCTGACTGCTGCGACGTTCAAATGCAGTCGGAAACCTGCAAAATCCAATAGCAAAAAAAAAAAAAACGGATGGATGGATGGATGGATGGATGCCTGGATGGATGGATGGATGGCTGGGAGGATAGATGAATGATGATGGATGGATGGATGGATGGATGGATGGATGGATGGATGGATGGATGGATGGATAGATGAATGATGATGGATGGATGGATGGATGGATAGATGGATGGATGGATGATGGATGGATGGATGGATTGATGGATGGATGGATGGATGGATGGGAGGATAGATGAATGATGATGGATGGATGGATGGATGGATGGATGAATGATAATGGATGGATGGATGGATGGATGGATGAATGATGATGGATGGATGGATGGATGGATGGATGGATGGTGGATGGATGGATGGATGGATGGTGGATAGATGGATGGATGGTTGAATGAATAGAGGATGGATGGTGGATGGATGGATGGATGATGGATGGATGGATGGATGGATGGATGGATGAATGATGATGGATGGATGGATGGATGGATGATGGATGATGGATGGAGGAAATAATGAATGAATGGATGAATGAATAATGGATGGATGGATGGATGATGGATGGATGATGGATGGATGGATAAAGGATGGATGGATGGATGGATGAATGATGGATGGATGGATGGATGATGGATGGAGGAAATAATGAATGAATGGATGAATGAATAATGGATAGATGGATGGATGGATGGATGGATAAAGGATGGATGATGGATGGATGGATGGATGATGGATGGATGGATGGATGGGAGGATAGATGAATGATGATGGATGGATGGATGGATGGGAGGATAGATGAATGATGATGGATGGATGGATGGATGGATGGATGGATGAATGATAATGGATGGATGGAAGGAAGGATGGATGGATGGTGGATGGATGGATGGATGGATGGATGGATGGTGGATAGATGGATGGATGGTTGAATGAATAGAGGATGGATGGTGGATGGATGGATGGATGGATGGATGGAGGATGGATGGATGGATGGATAGATGGATAAAGGATGGATGGATGGATGGATGGATGGATGATGGATGATGGATGGAGGATGGATGGTGGATGATGGATGGAGGAAATAATGAATGAATGGATGAATGAATAATGGATGGATGGATGGATGATGGGGGTGGATTAAAAGGATTGGATAA